TTTTGCTGGCTTGCTTTGCTGGCTTGCTTTCACAAATAGACCACCAATTTTTCCATGCTATTATTAGGAAACCCGCAATGTTTTTGTTTTGTTTTTCTTATAATTTCATGATAATCAAAAGGGAAGGCATAAAGAAATAGCCCATGGCATTTAGGATAGTTCCTAAATTAAACAAAAAAGTCTTACTTGGCCTGGGTACCACTGACCAATACAACGAATCACTACCTAAGAAAGGATAGGATACACAATCAGGCAATGCATACAACCAAAGTACAAGTTAAACAGTCTTTTAATTGCAATCTTCATGATAATACACATTAAACAGTTTATCACAAATAAAGTCACACATATCATTTTGCATTATGCTTTCAGCATTAAGTACATCATTGTTGCGCCAAAAAAAGCTTGCAAAAGTGTCAAATTCATCATCTCAAATAAGCATAACTGATTAACGATTGTCACATTTCTGTTAAAATAAACGTAAGAATGGCAATGCCGCAGGTTTTACTTCAAACATGAAATGCTCTTGGGTACGGTAGGTTCAAATGAAGAAAAGGATATAATCCTTTTTTTTGACAATTCAATTTTTTAGCACGGAAGTCTGAATTCATCTACTGCCTTTGCATTTCACGATCCAAATATATAACAGGTATCTATTATGCAAAGGTAGGAAACCACTCTTGTAATTCTGGAATTTGCACACTGTTTTCAGTCATCAATCTGAAAATATTGTGAGGCAGGACAACAACTAGGAGATGAAATTACGATCAACGATAACAATAGTATTCTGGGTATTTTTTTGTAAAGCCCACATGACCTTATGATAAAACGTAATCATCTATAGATGTGCTTACACGGAACTTAGGACATTGGTATACCGACTGTATAGCTTTGCAGCTCTTATTAACAAACAATGCATTCCAATAACTAAATCCTGCCAGGTACCCATTTAATACCTAGGTAGAGAGAGGCAACTGCAGATAAAAAATGTCTTGTCTACATATGCACCATGCCAGGATTTGAACCCTACACCTTAGGATTGAGAGTCAAAATAAACAAACCACTATGCCTTGGTGAAAGTGGAAAGAGACATATAAAACATTGCCAGATGACATATCCAGCACATTTATACTAAAATTCCAAGATGTGGTAAAGAACAATATCCAGTAAATAAAGACCATCAAAATGTTTGTTGAGCATCATCCTGAAAGTGTACAAAGATAATTGTTACACATTGTTTCACAATCTTAAAACTTACCTCATATAAAATACAAATAATTTTACAGAATGTTCTTTCAATTTGAACAGCTCAGTTTTAGCTCCTTCAGCAAATCATCCTGAACTAACTTGATGCAATATGAAAATACAATATCATTCAACATGTACAAGTACAAAGTTCATTTTATTTCAACATACCATAAAATATGTCTGACTAAAGAGATATTAGAAAATATACATTTGTGATGATATAACTACAACATTAAATCAGACATTGACAACAAATCTACAGCCATTCAGAAGTACAGAAAATGCCTGCACTTTCTGTTCAAGATTAGAAAGAAAAATCAATCTAATCAACAAAATAAAATATTAATACTCTGTGTAACACTTGATAATAGTAAAAGAATACAGAAGCATGTGGCAATGAAACAATTATAAAATCCTACTCCACATCCCCCCTAACCCTAACAAGCAACACCTGTTTTTATTTTTCAATCATTGTTACTTTCAAAGTTGTGCCAAGAAGATAATCTGGAACAGTGATCTATAAAACTAAAATCTTAAAGAATTCTGGGTTAAAAAGGCAAACTCAGATTATTACAACTCACAAATAAAATGATGTCTTCTCCAAACAGCCTGAACAAATCAACTTTTGCCAAGGCAAATTTTGAACATTAACACAACTGTGTAGGCCAACGTCAATTAAAATTAAGAAAACAGTAATATGTGTTGCACATTTAGATCTTCCACAATAATGATATGATGTGGCAATACCTCTGATAAGTGCACACAAATGTACTTGGGTTATGTGAATCTCAAGCACTTGCCTCTACTTAAATACAATACTGAAGTGACACATACAGCACAACAAATCGTTTCAATTAGTTCAATAGCAAAAAATTGTGTTGCCCTTGATTGCTGTACAAGATAATACAATAGTTAACAACGAATACTCCGTGACATGGGAACTTCCTAGTTAATTGGAGGTTTATGATTAGGTCAAAGATCAACAAGAGTGGCAAATTCATTCTTCTGGAATTTCTGACGTGTAGCAGAAAGGTTGATTAGACTATAGTTCGAAAGACAAAAGTTCAGTTCTCTTGAGACCTTATTGCCCACCCCCCCCCCCCCCCACTAAGTGTTATTTATGGTACGCGTAGTCCAGTGTGTAAAGTCAATACGGGCCGATTTTTGTGTGTTAAAAGCAGGACTTTTCTGCGTGAAAAGTACCCCTTTACCGGACATTTCTGGAACATGCATGCGGTCCCCCTGTTCCCGGAGTGGGGGGGGGGGGGGGGGGGGGCCTTTTTGCAACTACATATACACGTAGTCAAAAGCTAAATCACAAGACAATGTTTTTCAGTCTTTAGTGGACCTTCTGTCTTGAGGCCCTTCCTTCGGTCAAACCAACAGCACTCACTCCAGTTCCAACCTAAGGCGCACACCAACCAGAATGAAGACAATGTATCCCCTTTGTGCGAGAAATCAGGGCCCCGTTTCATAAAAACTTGATATCAATAACGCGTTACAAGCTACTGTTAAAAGCTACTGAAATCATGGCATCTGATTGGCTGAGAGCAAATTTGTCATAGAAATCTAGCATTTGTTATAGATAACAAGTTTTATGAAACAGGCCCCTGGTCAAGAAATGACTTCTATCCTGAATACCCTGCATGCATAAAACCACACAAGACACTTTAAAATTGCCTTCCTAAACATTAATATACCAATTTCCAAAATGACATTGTGAATTTTCACCTTTTTTTTGTTAAGGGGGGTGGGGGGGTTGCTTTACAGATAATCATTAATTGGATGAAATTATCAACAATCAAATTTGGCAAGAATAACATTTTATATCAGGCGGTGGGACTTTAATAATCCAAGGCAAACAATACCTAATTAATGGATGATTGTCACATATTCAAAGTACTCAGAACACATCAAAAATGAATATAATATGAACATAAGATATAAATAAAGGCATATCAATGTACAGACGCTAATTCAGATTTAAATCACCGGTACCCTATCGAGCAGTAAATAAAATGAGCCACGTTAATATTACAAATAAGTCTCGCTAGAAACAGATGACTGAAATCTGGATGGTGTTTCAACATGCCACTCCCCCGTTCCCTGAAATGTGCTCAGGAAACAGTGATAAAAACACTCTGTCCTTCAGATAGGATGTTAAATGCAGGTCCTGTGTTTTGGAGATCCATGCCCTGTAAACCACTGAACTTCTCATAGACAGTACATTGAAATCTAGTAAAAAGGTACACGTGTCTATTCCAAACCCTTCTAAAGGAGAGGGTGAGAAGCCTAAGGGTCTCACTGATTCAGTTTGCTTTTCCTTTCATAGGCACATGAAATTGTAGAAGAATCTACTACGATAAAAATATATTTCCATGAATTCCACAATTTTTCATTATGTGCATAACTCACACGACCTTCAGGCCATCATCATTCATGTTTCAGAAATATACATTTTCATAAACTTCTAATAATCCTATCTACAAGAACCCTGGATTCAACTAAGCTAAGTATAAAAAGATATCCTTTTCAGACTGTATGGTGTAAATGTTAATACGAGGTTAAAACACGCTACATTACTACCCGTAAATATTGGTCTGTCCAAAAGAATTGATGTTTATATATCTACAGAGGAGGTCGTGTAAGTGGTGCTGCTTGAGCACTATGTTATAATATATCAACATATTGACTAGTATAGTGACAGAATAGTGTTAAATGTACTACCAGCACTTTCCACTGAAAGGCTTTCACAATTACCTGCAATATGAAGAGGAAATTTGCAACAACTTTACAATGTGCACCCCATATCTTTATCCAAATAGACATAGTTCTATTGTTATTGTAGAGAATGTATGTAGCACTCGATTTCAGCAAGATAATGTTTAATTGTGTTTGTATGTTGTATATCTTTTTCCACTCAAAAATTTGATTTTTTCTTTTCTTTTATTTTTGATATAGATGCATACACAACATGATCATCATATATGAGACAATAAAACATTTCAACATACCATATCAACATTCCATTACCCAAATGGCACCATCATCAAATATCATATATAAACTATATCAATGGAAATCATATTTGTGGTAGGCAGTGTCAGTGGTGATAATGGAAATAGTGCATGTTGGCAATATATGTCATCTGCAGAGAGCTAGGAGGGGAGATCATTCTGATTTGTGTGTAACACCTTCCAGCTCTTCATAGACAATACAAGGAATCACAAAGGAGTGTTGGTTTACAAAAGTGATGTAATAACTCTTTCTCTAATTTGTATGACCAATCAGTGTGCTCAATTTTAAGAATACAATCCTATCACATGTCCCTTTATATTCAATGCACATATAAAGACAAAGTGACAAAAACAGTAATTATTTCCTCCAAACTTCAAATAAAAATCATCAGGATATGGGCGAGTGATTTGATGCACCCCCTTACTTTGGCCGGACTTTGGTGCGTGAAAAGTACCCCTTTACCGGACATTTTTTGGACATGCATGGTATCCCTCCGTTCACGGAGTGGGGGGGGGGGGGGGGTGGGGGCTAGGCTGTGGATACACCAAGAAGCTGTTCTTTCCTTCAAGCTTCATATAATGCCTCCAGTTTCTAGTTCACATCTTGGATGCACCCTTATCTGGTATATGTCACTCAGTACGGCACTATAATATTCTTCAGACAATTTGGGGTACTCATTTTTTGTTAGACCTTCCATGTGCTCAATCAACTCTGACTACATCAAGTATATGTATTTGTGTGCATTGCAAGGTTTTGGAATCATCAAAATTATAAGAAATTTGGCCAAGTCTTGGTAAAGTTACAAACACTCTACACAGAAAGATTTATATGGGACTACACGAACACGTTGCGTAAAAATCCATCCCGATTTTTACAATGTTACATACCATATTTAGAATATGAAGGCATTTGAAGAGCCATGCTTTTCAGGGAACATGTTTTATCTGATTTTCTTCCACACTTGCATAATAACAATAATAACGCTCACAAATTATTTTTCTCCTCTTCCCAGAACTCAACCTTCTCTTTAAGGACATTCTGGTAATCTTCAGTTGAGCTCATCATGGTAGGTGGCATCCACATGTGCTCAAAGCTGCTTGGTCAGCTCAGGTTTGACCGGTTCCCTCTTCAAGCTTGATATGAATTATCTAGATTGTGGTGATTGTTCTTGATGCATCTACAGTCAGTGGGTCTAGAGGAAGACTCTTCAAATCTTCAGGTAAGCTCATGATGATAGCGCTCCTAGCTGCTTGATCAACTCCCGTCTTACCAAGACACGGTTTCTATATCAAGCTGCATGTCAATCTTTTAATTTGTGGTAAATGTTTTGGATGCATCTACTATCAGTGGCTGTGTAGGACTCTGTAAGGCTTCAGGTAATCTTGGGAGGTGAATTTTGTGATTTTCCAGCTGCTGGACTAACTATGTACCAAGACACGTACATACTCTTTCAATTAGCTTTACATGAATCATTTTTGTTTTTGGTAAGTGTTTTTTTATGCATTCACTATCAGTGACTCTGGAGGACACTCTGTAAGTCTTCAGGTAAGTTCATAATGATAGCATCCATATGCATTCACTATCAGTGGCTCTGGAGGACACTCTGTAAGTCTTCAGGTAAGTTCATGACGATAGCATCCATATGCATTCCTAGCTGCTTGATCAGCTCCGGTTTCACCAAGATCCTGTTGTTCCGGACACTTTCCTGCATAGCCAAAACAGAAACAGTATTATTTAAGAATTCTTCTTGTGTTTTTCGTAAATTCTTCCAATATACAATATGAGTAAAACTGAATCAAAGAGTAGCAGATCAGATAAATATTCATATAAAGTAAAACATATATATATACACAGATCAATGATACACTAAAACTAAAGATCCATAAGATTGCCTGCATTCGTACTTGATTACAGAATTGTGATTCGGCTCAGCCCCTGTTGCAGGTCAATTCTAAATTTGCTTTCAGCTTTATTTTGTCAAAGATGTAGGGTTAGATCTGGGTCCTATTTCACAAAACTTGTCATCAGTGACAAATGACAGTTTTTGTTATAAGCTACTGAAATCCTTGCTTCTGATTGGTTATCAGCAGATTTGTCACTGATATTTGTCATTTGTCACTGAAAAAAGGCTTTGTGAAACGGGACCCTGGGGTTGTGACTTCATATAAGCTTAGGTTTAGGGCTAGCCAAAGATGTAGTTCTTACCATCTTCTCTCGAAGCTTCAGCAGAAGATCGACGACCTCCACCTCTTGCTTGTCTTTGGCCCACTCCGCGATGTTGGCCTCACACAGAGCCTCTAGGTGAAGAGCTGATAGCTTACAGTTCACCTCCTCCTGACGCTGCTGAAACCAACCCTCAAAGTTCTTTGATCTGAAGAATTTCCTGTCAAATAGATCATTGCAAGATAACATGTTGAAAAACGGACCAGGATTATAGAATTTTGAATTCAACAAAATGGAAATATAACAGGGATGCCAGTTTTGAGGCCCTGATACCTCCCCATTCAAGCTAATTCAGCCTTCATAAGGACTTAAACACATTGGACCTCTTTTCAGGCTCTTCAGAAAAAGAAAAAAAAATGTATTCCTGATATAAAAGACAGAAATAGAATAACTTTTAAAATAATCCGCATCAATTAATTTCTTCAATTGGACAATTCATGATTTTGTTTTCTAAATGACTACTCCATCAACACAAACCTAGGCAACATAACACATATCTTTAAAGACAGCTGTTGACAATGTAGCTCTTATTCCAGACAGACCAATATTTAAAATAAAATCATACTAGGCTTGATGAATTTATCATGAACATAAACAAAGAGCAAGAACATTTTACCAGGCAAAATTTTGATTCACCTGGGTGAAAAGGAAAAAGTGTAGAGTGACAATAAAATGACGTCTCTGTGAGAATAAGTCAAAGACTGGGATGTACTCACTTGTAGAGTCCTACCCAGTCTCCCTTGAGTCCTGAGGTGAGTTGGGGTCCAGAGTGCTCCAATGTCTTAATGAATTCATCAGCATCAAATGGCTTCAACCTTGGGGGATGCTGAAGAGTACAAAAAATACACTCAATATTTGGGGCTTAAAGGTACTATGTCCCATTTGCAGGCCAAAAGAATGAAAAGGTTAAATTCCCACGGCATTTGAAAGACAATACTAATTTAGAACTTCCCTAAAAAATAAGGGGCTTGAAAATGTCTTTATGTGGGAAAATAACGACTATTAGTTGTCGAATATACTTAGGAGCTATAGAGCCAGTATTAAGTAATAGTCTGATTTTTCAGACCATTGTACCGAATGGTCGTTCGTTTTATGCTGAGCAAAGATTCAATCAGTTTAATTTTGGCCATTACAAGAAGTGGATTATTGATGTAGACAAATGATCATGTACCCTTTACAGCTCATTTTATGTATGTTATTACCACAGTGTCTGACAGTGAAGTCTAGCAAGTAAACAGGTTTCCTTGCATAATTTGAATATTAGGACACTGATAACAATTAAATTTCACAGATAGGACATACATGACATATTCATAATTCCTGCAAAGTTCTACAGAATTTGATGTTGGCTGCAAAAGGGACATCGTATCTTTAAGCGTATAACATGAACAAAGTGTGATTGGCATGGTTGTTTACAGGCAACAGGTCACAGGGGATCCTCATGTTTGTCATGATTTCTTTTCAAGTCGATATAGTAATGCAAATGATCTGAACAAAATTATAGAACTTTAGTAATGAGCTCCTATGATAACTGTAGACCTGGAGATCTTTTGGGGTAGAAGAAAACTGGCCACCATCAACCAATATCAGGTATTATTATCTATATAATGCTTTCAAGTGGTACAATGAATCGGTGTATTTAATATCTTTAGCGCAGAACCCGGATGACTGATATTGTTTTCATATTGCTCAGTTATCCAGGAACTTCAACTATGGATATCGATATCGTATCACACAAAAACAAAGCCATATTACCGCAGTACGTCAAATTTTGATATTTCGCTAGTCAGCCTGATATGGATTATAATAATGATATTATATGGCTTTCTTTTTGTGTGATACAAGAATATATTGCTCTTGATATGACAATATTGGACTCGTCTCCGATTGTTCAATATTGTCAAGGCTCAAGCGATTCATTCTTGTATCACACTCAAAGCTATCCAATATTAAATAAGGATTTTGAGTTCATGTTTACGACTGATGGGTCTTTCATCATGCACATAAAACCATAGAACAACCCAAAAACCACCCAAATAGAAGAAAATAAATATATATATAAACAGCATATGTGAGATGTGTGCATGCAGGAAGGTTGTAATTTGAGAGGATTGTAATACAATGCCTACAGGAAATTCCATCAAAATTCTAGAAAACATGCCCAGCGACAATTGCCCCACGGTCAATTTCCACACTAATCCACTTTTAACTTCAACACAGGACCAAACACTATACTTATGCCTAATCCTAACCTCAGAATTGGCCCAATGTCTAACCCCAAGCTTAACCTAAAACCAATTCCAACCCTAATCCTAAGATTTTGATGAAGTATGAAAAGCCTAGAGCCCATGTCGCGGGAGCAAAGGTCAAGTCACCTTCATACTACCCTATATTAAACAAATAATGCACTGTTGCGAGTGTGTTAGCGCAAGGCCAGTGCACGGAGTTTAGTCAGTGCACATAGGTGATAATGCACAAGCCCGCAGGGCAAGTGCAATATCGCACTGACTAAACCGAGTGCACTGGAACTGTGATAAAACAAGAGCGAAACGGTGCATTATTTGTTTTATAAGACGGGTCGGCAATACTTTCTTACAATATAGTCTAGATCCAGAGTAAAGATAGATATTAGATTTAGATCTACGGTAAGTTAGATCTAACTAGATCTAGGCCTAGAATATTCTAGATCTAGATCTAGATATTGAAAATTATGCACAAATTAAATTTGGCTGAATTACGCAAAAGCGATATCCGCAGGTATCGAGCGTGTGTTATCAATTTTTGATGGGAGTTTTTTGGCACGATTTGAAGAACTAATACACGCCCACGTGATGTCAATTGATTCTAGAACCCGTCTTATAATAAACTAGATGGAATTTTGACTGCGCGCAGTCGAAAATGATGCCTCCGCCATAGAGCAATTTAAACAAGTTTGGAGTTTAAATCTCCAGTGGTTCTTGAGATATCATGATAACAATCTCAATGTATGGAATTTCATAAGTTGACCTCTGTGACCCTTGACCTTTGACCTACGTGCTCCAAAATCTAATCAGATTGTCTTCCTATGGTGATACACACTATCATTAAGTTTGAAGTTTAAATCTCCAGTGGTTCTTGAGATATTATGATAACAATCTCAATGTATGGAATTTTATAAGTTGACCTCTGTGACCCTTGACCTTTGACATACGTGCTCCAAAATCTAATCAGATCGTCTTCCTATGGTGATACATACTATCCTTAAGTTTGAAGTTTTTACATCTCCAGTGGTTCTTGAGACATCATGATAACAATCTCAATGTATGGAATTTCATAAGTTGACCTCTATGACCCTTGACCTTTGATCTACGTGCTCCAAAATCTAATCAGATTGTTTTCCTATAGTGATACACACTATCACTAAGTTTGAAGTTTAAATCTCCAGTGGTTCTTGAGATATCATGATAACAATCTCAATGTATGGAATTTCATAAGTTGACCTCTGTGACCCTTGACCTTTGACATACGTGCTCCAAAATCTAATCAGATCGTCTTCCTATGGTGATACATACTATCCTTAAGTTTGAAGTTTAAATCTCAAATGGTTCTTGAGATATCGCGCTAACAAACTCAATACAAGGAATTTCATAAGTTGACCTCTGTGACCTGTGACCTTTGACCTACGTACTCCAAAATCTAATCAGATCGTCTTCCTATGGTGATAAATACTATTCCCGAGTCTTAAGTTTAAATCTTAAATGGTTCTTGAGATATTGTGATAACGGTCAAACGGGACGGACGTACGGACGGACAACCCGAAAACATGATGCCTCCGGCACCACCTTCGGTGGCGGAGGCATAATAACAACTCACCTTCCAGGGAGAGATATTCCTTTGTAGAGGCATGAGACTAGCAACGTATCTTTCCAGTGGGATCATGAAGCTCTGAGTCAGCTCCAGGAGATGCCTCCTAAGCATAGCGTCCTGGACTTCCGTAGGTCTCCTGGTCTGCATGCCCTGTCAAAATGGTCACAAGAAGGTTTCATTTCATTCAGTTCATAAAAGCAAAAATGCAGTTCGGTTCCAATTTAAAAAAAACAACTAAATTCTTGTTTAGCCTCGTTCAGGTATGATGCAGCAACACCATGGGGATTTCATATTATGACATGAGGTGGAATACGCTTAACAATTCTGTATCTTATAACACAGAGTCCAGTGAACACACGCACAACTTTTGTTTTACCACGTCATAATACAAAGGATCCTACTCTATCTCTGGATAGAATGAGAGTTGAAATTGAGGGGGTCATTCTAGATCGGGGGTTATCAGAGGACCTCAGAGACTCATAAGTGTGGGTCATAGTACCACTGCAATTTATCTTGTATCAAAATAAAGTTCTTGATTGACTCACCTTTGATAACCTCTTGATAATGTTCTTGTCTTTGTTCAGGAATGGTTTGTACTGTGTGTAGACACCTATAAGATACAACACAAAATAAACTTCTTATGTTACACAACACACAGCCATTGAGATTAAACTGAATAATAAGGAGCAGAAAATACATGCAACATACAAAAAAAAAAGCAGGATGGGAATTATATGGTCTGTTCGGAGCCAGAAGGGCATTAATTATGTATTTAAATATATGAATCAATGACCTTTTGGCTTTTGGTTAAACTCATGTCATCAATGAGCTAAAAACAAGTCTTGTCATGCAAACCCCAAGTGTTATTCAGTGTAATATTGATAAGCCCCCCCCCCCCCCAAAAAAAAAAAAAAAATAATAATAATGATAACAATGACTTCAATGCATTAATCATGCCTAAAGTTCTGAACACTTGCGGGAATGGCTAAAACCATGACTGCAATTTCGACCAATCAGATGGCTGGATTTCTTAAGTGAGGTATATAATTCAGTTTATCAGCAAGTAAATCAAGTTTGTTTTCTTTTATCTTTATAACACCTATCAAAATATTCACCCAGTGGATTTCAAGACATAATAAGTCTTCTAATACTTGCCTGGTTTGGACTCTAGTGTTTTGATACTCCCTGGCTTCTTTGGTTTCAGAGCTTTGGAATTCTTGTCTCCTGTAAAACAAAACAAACAAATTAAACAAATTTAGATTCATGTAATATCAGACCCATAGAATTATTCAGAAGAATATTACTATTTCACATTAGATTTGACATAACTATAAATAAGCCATTCACTTTGCATGACTCAATAAACGTCATGTATTCTACAGTCATTATACAAAAAGCATACATTATCCAATCTTTGTCCTGAAGACATGATTTGTAACAAAGAAATGCAAAGACAGCATAAATGATTTCATGTTACCAGCATTTTGCACATCTCATAAAACTCAAATTACAATCATAAATTCCTTTCAAGTGTTTTTACTTGTTTCTGTGACTGCTGACAGTGGATTCCAGCTGAACATCAATTTAATGTAATTGTCCTTTGATAAGACAAACTATATCATGTTTCGTTTAACCCAATGACTCAAGGAAGCATGTTGACCATATGATAAAAATAATAATAATAATAATAATAATAATAATAACAATAATAATAATAATAGGCATTTCTATAGCGCCGTCTATCTAGATAATTCTATTCCGAAGCACATTTATTATTACCCCGGCTTTAGCCTAGCTGCCGTTATACAGCGCTCCAGCATTTCAAGAATTAATTCCTGCCAGGTACCCATTTGCATCACCTGGGTTGAGTGTGGTAAATGTAGATCAATGTCTCGCCAAAGGACATTAGTGCGGCAGGGGGACTCGAACCGCAGACCTTGTGATCGACAGTCCGGCAACGTATCCACTTGACCACGACACCTCTACATATCTTACCCTTCTCTCCATTACAGCGCATAGGGATATATTTGTGATATGCGCTATAAAAGTATGGTGTACTACTATTATCATTATTATTTCCCTACTCAATGTACTATCATATCCTCATCTGCATATATGCAAAAAGATGTACACCTGTAAAACTTACCATACGAGGGTTCTCCTATCCGTACTATATGGGGCCAATGCTGTAACGTCTTGGCAAAGAATGGGTTTGTCACTCCAAGAATCACTGAAGGCCTTTGAGACAGAAGATCAAATTAAATAGCACTTACATTTTCAAGAATGATCTCATTCTCCATAGTATACAACATACAATGCAGCCATTTCTTTAAATTCTCACTGGCCTCTACTAATCAAAGATATTTTCAACAGGCTACACATAAAAATGGGTATTATATTGGGGTTTTTATAAACTAAGGTTGTTTTGTATCTCATGTTTATTCTATGTATATTCATTTATGTATAGGGTGCCCCATTAATCAAGCCTTGGCTTTTAGGGGCACCCTGACCATTTACACTGTATCAATAATTTTCATACAAGCATGCTTTGTATACTGATTTTGATTTTAAATGGTTTAGAAAAACGAATTGCATTGAAATGAATTTGTTTGTATAATGCATACAAATGTCTTTTCCTTTTACAATCATACACACATTCTTTGTCTCTTAGTCACTGATCTTGCATACTGATTTTCCCAGTCAGGAAAACCATCACATAAAAATGTATACCATGGGAGACAATTAGCGACTCTGTGATGTGAGTACACCTTATAGGCTACAACTGGTTTCCTATAAGAAAAAGGGCATTTTGCTCCATAACTGTGAAACAGAATGGATATTTCAGATCAGTTCATGTAAAAAATAAACATCTTTAGGCGAGAGCGTATTAACATCCTAATCACATGACTAAGTTACCAAGTGATGTTCTACAGACTTTAACATTTTGAACAACAATGAATGTTCTCATAAGTTGGCCTGTTTTAACTTTCCACATCTTTTATTAGTTCAGTGTTTTCCCAAATTTCTGCACTCCATTGAAATCAAATGCAATGTGTGAGTGTGTGTGTATTGGGTTTTTACAGACGTGTATCAATCAGATATGACTATTTACGTCTGGGGACGGACCTTTAAACGTCACCATCCGAAAGACGTGACTCAGTTTCGAACCTGCGTCCTCATATGGCTGAATCCTATTAGATGTTTCTTTTACATGCCCTCTTGGCTGTACTTACGGTGCTTGGGTTCTTGTGGTATACTCCTTGAACTCGCTGTCATGGATGGTGAAGTAGGGTCTGAAGTCGGACATGAACCTTAGAGGTGAGATCATACTGACCAGAGCATGGACAGTATCAGCACACATACCAGGCCCTGGTGCCATCACAACTAATGTCTGGACAAGAAAAAGAAAAAAGTAATGTATGATATTCAATTTTACCCAGTTCAAGTTTATTCCACTCATTAAATCAGGGGTGATACTAGTGAGCACTAAAAAAAAAAAAAAGAAAAGAAATTTCCCCTCAACCACGCCCCCCCCCCCCCTTGAGTAAAACAAAAAAGAAGAGGAGTCGGGGGGGGGGGGGGGTGGGGAATGGCATCTGACAACATTCCCCTCTTTTGAGAAAGAAAGTTGGGGGGAAGAAAATAAGTGGAAAATCTGGAAAAAATGGATAAAATCAGGAAGAACAAAAATAAAATAAATCGGGTTTAAAAAAAAAAATGTTAAAATCGGGAAGAAAAAAAAATCAGGAAAAAAATTGGGAAACCGATTTAAATCTAGTAATTATCAGGCCTGTTAAATAAAAGAAATCAACAACAACTTGCAAATACAAGTAACACACATGCACACACACTCCTACATGTACATGTCTACTGTTATAGAATTGAGTTAAAAAGAAGCAGGTTTGACTATATATTTCAAAATAAAACTTCCAAACATAGATTCTCCTTCATGTATCTGATTCCACTATATGCATGTCAAGTCTATGTCTGCAATTGCTCGCATTTCTCGCACATCATCGATTAGTGAAGGATATGCAAGTAGGGATGGGGGTGGGGGTGGGGGCAGGCAAGGGGTGGAGAGCAGGAAAGGGTTAGGAGGGGCGTGGTGTTTGTGTTGGGGTGTTGTTTTGGGGGTGTTTTTATTTGTCTTTTGGAGAAAAATGACTTTAAACCATTTTTCACAGGAGATTAAAATCTTATGGTCTGGAAATTAATGGAAAGTTTGGGGGCTAAAATGCACCGGATCCCTCCAAGTCTGGTTTATGAAAAGACCCATGACCATTGACCCACCTCTCCAGTAAGGACAAGCTCCCATAGGAGCTGCATGTGAGGTATAACTGGATGAAGGCATCTAAACATCTCAGGCTCACTGATGGAAGGCACGACAGTAAGAGGCGATCCCATCAGCTGTAATCAATATAAAAATGGAACGAGATGCAACAATATAATTTGAATCTATGTTTATCAAAAAGTACATCGTATAGCTCAAGACAGAATACTCCAGAGAATCATCGTTCACAGGGTCAAAAAGGGTCAGTCATGACTGAGACTCATAGAACTACCACAACGACATCAAATAGTAGCGAATACAAACGTAACTTTGTGCCCACATGGTAAACCGCCTAACAAGACAGGCACAATACAATGACATATAAGTGCACTGGACATTTCTGTATCTTGCAACTACTGATAAATTAGTACGCTTTGGCCTTTCTTGCATGCACCTACATTTTTTCCACTAGCCCTGCCTGTAATTAACTTACAATATAGAATCGTTCAGGTTTTCCAGTTAATTTAAGCCCTGTTCCACTGCACTTTTTCTTTGAAGGCAGGTTACTGTTACTGTGTGACCAAGGGTTTCTAGAACCACACAGATTTGCCAGAGAAGTTCTCAATTGCAGTACCTTTTGTCTGTTTAATTTTCATACAAAACATGTGTTTCATATTTCAAGAAAGAAGACCATATTTTCTTTGTTGAAACACTGTCAACATGTTGGCAGTATAAAAGACTACATCAATGAAAGGGTTTAAAGTAGCAGGTGTCATATTGCAAATTGTTTGTAACTGTTACATGCTATTTAAAGATAAAGGCCAGTTCTGGTCATGCGATTGTATTGTGAAAGAAACGTTTAATACACTAAAATGGAAGACGAATACCGTCAATATTAGTATCTATACAGTTAACAAACAATGATTCCTTTAATTTTTTGTGGACAGAATTTTTCAAGTCTTTTCTAGAAACTTTAAAGATAAAGACCAGTTATGGTCATGCGATTGCATTGTGAAAGAAACGTTGTGGAATCGATCAGAAAAGGTTGATCATCTAGCATATAAGTATTGTGTGTACTGCAAGGTTCTGGAATCATCAAAATAATAAGAAACTTGGCCCAATCTTGGTAAAGTTACAAGCACTGTACACAGAAAGATTTATATGGGACTACGCGACACGTGCGCGATATCTATCAGGTCCAAATAGATATAATAATTTACCAAATATATTAATTAGTAGGCAGTTTCTCAGCAAAATTTGTATCATCACGTATTAGTCAAAACATATTCTTTCACATGATTGGTAATTTGCGCTTCTATTCCATTTTTTGAGAGGGGGGCGTTTCCAAAACTGGTCTTTACCTTTAACAGGGTGGCAAGAATAAGATCCTTACTAATACAACCACATCTCAAAAAGATCTCAAATGCTTCATAATAATCCTCAATCTCCCATACCATGACCTGTCCCTTGTCACTGGCTGCAGCACTGGCTTTGTCTTTTCTCAAATGCCAATAGATGCAATCTTTTAAACCTTCTAGCACATTACCAAGAACAAGATTATGTATGTACACCCAACCTCTCATCCACAAGAGATGATGATTCACACTAATTTCTCAATCTGAATACCACGACCTGTCCTTCGGCACTAGCTGCAGCACTGGCTCTGTCTGTCCTCAGTTCTCAGTAGGAGTGTCGTGGTCGAGTGGTTTAAGGCGCTTGACTGGAGATGCGAAGGTCGAGGGTTCGAATCCCGACACGGCACTAATATCCTTTGGCAAGATATTAACCTGCACTTGCTACTCTCCACCCAGGTGTCAAATGGGTACCCGGTAGGATGCAGCCGTCATTGTTGGTCAAACAGCTTGTGAGCGTCAATTAACGCCCGGCTGGAATGCTCTCCAGGGAGTGGAGATTGTGCACACAGTGTGTGTGGGCAAGCACTGAATCCAATGACCGGGGTAATAGTATATTTGTAAAGCGCTTAGAGACATTTGTATTAAGCGCTATGTAAAAATTATTTATTATTATTTAGGTAAATTCCCAAGGTATACACCCTATCCTACTCTAACACACAAATGAGATCAGCAACTCTTCATTTTCCTTACCTCGACATGTCCCCTGGCACCGGCTGCAGCACTGGGCTTGTCTTGCCTTGACGGGATGCGGACCTGAAGGACACAGCCCATGATGGGTAAGTGAAGGGTCTTCCCTGGGCAAGGCGATGGCCACTGGTCTATGTCATGGCATGCTGAAAACAACAACAAACATTCAAGGTAATACAAAGTTTGGGTATGGGGTCATGAATTTGGTTCAAATGAACATATTGAAAGCCTATGCGATTTTACAATATTCAATGATCGTTGTCGCGTTTGAAATCGAGTCTAAAGTGATGAAATTGTAAATGATAAACTCTTTATGTTGTTTAGCTCCCTCTCAAGACTGATATTACTTTAGCTTTACAACAATGTTTCTTGACTACAATCGACCGATTTGCTATTCCCATTTGGAAATTATATATCATAACTGGTCGGAGCTACCAATGAATGGCCTTGGACGCTTTTTGAAATATTTGAAATTTACCAGGAGCACCAGTAAATTTTTATTACTCAATTTGCTTGAAAGCAGAAATGTTTTAGGGGTTAATTTTATTAGTGCTTATAATACATCCACAGGCGCATCCAAATATATCAAAATTTTAAAAAATTGATATCCATCCAATTTTTAAAATTTCCCAAAACTTTGCATAACCTTAGTTTAAAGATGAAGTTGAGTTCTGGTTATGCGATTCCATTGTGAAAGAAACGGTGTGGAATCGACCAGAAAAGGTTGATCATCTAGCATATAAGAATTTGTGTGTTTTGCAAGGTTCTGGAATCATCAAAATGAAAAGAAATTTGGCCAAGTCTTGGTAAAGTTACAAACACTGTACACAGAAAGATGTATATGGGACTACACAAACACGTGGCGTAAAAATTCTACCCTGGATTTTTACGATGTTACATGACACATTTAGAATATGAAGGCATTTGTAGAGCCATGATTTTCAGGGAACATGTCTTATCTGATGTTCTTCCACACTTGCATAATAAGAATGATAACGCTCACAAATTATTTTTTTAACCTCTTCTCAGAACTCAACCTTCTCTTTAAGTACAAAATAACAAAGTATATTTCAATATACTAATGAAGGGTATACCCTGGGCAAGGGGTGGTTACTGCTCTGTGCCATGGCAAGCTGAATGCTAGAACAGACATTAGATTTGTTTAAATATTTTTAAAATAAAATAATAAAACAAATTATATGTCACTATACCACTGCATTTTATAGGCAAGGGAAAGCCATTGGTCTGTAATTGTCATAAACTGGCTGAAATAAACAATCTGTAAGATCAAGGGTTTACATAATAACTTACCTGCTTCTATTGATGGTTCCCCATTGTCAAAATACTCTGGGGCTACCAGGCTAGCTAACTGGGTGAATAATGATGTGAAGGGCAACTGACTCACTAGTACTAAAGACTGCAAAGAATAAGATGAAAAAGAATTAAATCATCACTTAATATAGCACAGCTCCTACATGTACAGGTGTATATATACTCTACTTTGCTGTGATGAGAAAAAAAACTCCTAACAGTGCTCCTTTACAGACACAAAAATTAAAACTATTCAAAAGCTCCTGAAAACAAGAGCAACTTCAACAAAAGTTTGAAGACAGCAACAGCTGAGGCTTTTCTTATGTCTAGCAAGTCCCTGGTCTAGTGGTAGGTTATTCAAAAGCTTTGTAGCGGCGCAACTAAAAGTACAGATACAATGTACTATCTTCTAGAAATACTTTTGTTTTTGTGCAAGGTAGCTGTAGACGCAGCTTGTTCTGTGTACTTCGTAAGTTATGTACATATACATGTATGGATGTGATTCAACAGATAATAATTCAGAAAAATAAATTGGGGTTTAAACATTCAATGCTTTACATAATTATCTGCCTTATTGGCAACCAATGTGACTCAATCAAAAGAGGTGTAATATGGGAAATAGATGCATGGACAAAGATTTCTCTGCTTTTCCTGTTTTAGTATAATTATGGTATCTACGGAGATTGTACGAGGTATAAAAGGCAGATTTACATGTGTTACATTGTAGATACAAATGTAGGTGCTTTTATAATAATAATAATAAATTTAATTTTATATATAGCGCTAAATACAAATGTCTCTAAGCGCTTTTCCATGTATAAACAAGGATCAAACAAAAACAAAATTAATTTCAATACTGTTATCATTGTTCAATAAATACAGATACTGTTACAGTTCATTTAGCCCTAGTATTGAGGTAAAAATTCGTTGAAGGAAAAAAAATTGAAAAAAAGTATGTAATTGTACAATTGGCCTTATCATATGTAGCGTACGTAGGCCTATAGACAGTCACTTGTAAAACAGAGGTTACAAACATGCAGCTGTTACTTTTATGTATGCCCAGAGAGTTACATGTAGTAAAATTGTGCCACATCACTTATGCACCAAAGATGTTTTAGTTCTCCATTTTTTACAATGTACAGTATGTCTCAGGAGAAAGAGCATTTTAGTTTTCCTGCTCAAATACACTTTTTTATATTTTTTGTGTACCACTGTATACTTTGGATTATAAAGAATCAACATGTTTTGAGGGTGACAGAAATAACAGTACAGATATTTTTTCTATAAATCTAATCCAGGCTTTTTTGAAAAATAGTATGAGTTATTTCTTGTTTAAGCATTTAGACCACAACTAAACATTTAACGAACATTTTAACTCTTAGTATAATTTCATGTCTGTAATTTATATAAGCGGCTGGGTGGATTCCAAACAGTTTCTTGGTGACTTCTCATTATATAATACACAATGACAGGTTATTTCTCAAATAGATGATATTTTGAGTACAAAAAATATGTACAGGTATATGATATATGATGTAATTCACCTTTCAATCTTGGCCACAAAACAAATAATATAAGCAATTGTTTACACCAGTGAATAAACCACAATCATTCCATACAACTTATGAACTCTTAATGTAAACACATGACTAGAACTTTGTGCTGCTGGTTCACTGCATGGTTGCATAAGGGACTTGCTATATATATTCACACTGTTTCATGGATATTTATCCCCAAAACAGTTACAGCACTAGGCCTGTTTTCATCAGCTCGAGTTTGCCAAATAACCACTATTTTCAGACTTTGGATATTATCCCGAAGTTCAAAATTGCGTCTTCACCGGACCGATGCGTCCTCACCGGACCGATACGCTCGACACACAAACTAGCTCTGCCGGGCGCAAATTAGCCCGCTATTTCCTAAATAGCGGGATATTTTGGAAACAAGACCAACATTTCTCGGGATATTTTCTTGACCAAATATCCCGCTAATTGCAATTGTGGGCTGATGAGGACGCATTAACTGGTTAATTTGCGATTGGGAAAGTTAAAATAGCAGGTTATTTGGCAAACTCGAGCTGATGAGGATAGGCCTCATGTATTTGGACAACAATAACATGATATGAACCTCAGAACAAACAAGCGATTTTCCCTTCCACTGAGTAAACCACAAGCAAACGTTTCATAAACCTGACATGAACTCTGAGTGTAAACACAGTCTGTCATTTTGTGCTGGTGGTGGCATGGATCCTCCTGTGTCATCGATGACCTTCCATCCACTGAGTAAACCACAAGCAAACGTTTCATAAACCTCACATGAACTCTGGGTGTAAACACAGTCTGTCATTTTGTGCTGGTGGTTGCATGGATTCTCCTGTGTCATTGATGACCTTTTCTTGGGATTTGTTTTGAAATGATTGCATGCAGCAGCCTACATGTACATGTACACTGTATATACTACAGATACAAGTAGAAGCTCTGATCGTACAGTTAAAGGGATAGTTGAGTTCTGTTTTCAGACCGCAAATGCCTTCAAAGTGCATGGTTATTGCTCTTATTCTTATTCTAATCTATGGCATTTCTAGTGCCCTTTTAGGACCTAAAATTTCTATGAAGGTAATTTTAAACCCCAAAATGTGTGAAACTTCGCCAATACGATCATACCAATTCAGCTCTACTTTCAAAAGAAAACGGTGACCGTTAATTAAGTAACTAATTAAAAATAACAATACATGGGCCGGCTGGTTGTGCGTAATATAACCCACATGAAAAAGCCAACATCGACATTGGCTAAAATACAACGTAAAAGGCGCTGTTTTGTTTTTTCAACGGCTTTTACAAAATAATCGAATATTTGTGGTTGTACACAAATGTTAGGAATCGTTATCTTTATGGATATTTCAGCCTTCTCTGAACCGATTTTGATCAAACGAAGATGATTTTGTCATTTAAATTGTATGTTCTTTCAAATTTGACACTCAGTTTATCATTATCTCACAACAAAATTATTTTGTGTTGTGCCCTCTGCAACAGAACTCAACTATCCTTTATCAACTAAATTATTCACACCCCTTGTAAATTTGATGTTTTGTGTGTTTTTGTCAACTCAAGAATCAAAAGTGGACTGGTGGAATTAGGGCCTTTGTTAAATATTTTAGATGTACATATTAGCTTTAATATGTCACATTCTTAGGAAACATAAATCGAGACAAATCAAATTTTTCACATGACAACATTACAAAACTTGGTAAGGGTATGAATAATCTACCGGTAGTTTTTAACTGCATGTACAAATGTAGGCTAGAGGATAGAATGTGTCATATAAAATAGTTATTCTACAAGATACAAATGAACTACAACAATATACATACCGGTACACAAGTATCATCAATATCAATTAGTAAAATTCCATAAATTTCAAAAGCAAAGCATATTCCTGCAAACCCAATAAAGTCAAAGGGCATCAATCAAATCTATCAGCATGTGCATGCAATGACACTATAAAAGAAAAAATTTCTTTCTGAAATAATACTGTCTTTGCTACAACACTGTAGGCCACAAAAAGAATCATAATTTAAAGCTTGTAACTTTGTACGGGTATATTTCTGGTAAATCATGTTTGCCCCTCATATGTTATTTACAAAATTTGATCACTAGTTTCACCTTGAGTACAAATGTGTGTGTATTGCTGATTCTAAGTACCTAATTATGATGTGAAAGGTATTACTTCCCTTCCTACATAAACATGTTGCAGCTTGTAGTTTGTTATCGTCTTCTTTCCTTGATAAAAAAAAAATCCTATATTTTGACACATCTGTATCCTCATAAATGAGTCATAATGATATGCAAACTGCATCACTATAATGTCCACGTTCTCGATGGACTTTAGAATTGCAATAACATTCTGAATAACAAATAAGTGGGCTTTAATTATGGTGGGATATATCGTTCAGTCACTTCAGTGTATTATAATGCTACAATATCCTACATGTAAATGTGACACTCTTGAGTGGAATTCAATTTTGGACGCAAACCCTCAAAGTGGATTCTAATATTTTGCTGTCAGAATATATACATCTATCACATTACCGGTATACATGTACATGTACTTTCCAAGTGGACTTCAAGTTTCAATATCTTATTCTAAGAGTGGCTTTAAAGTAACCACACAAAGAATCAAAAGTGTTTTGAATTGATGCAAAACTCATATCATTGCGAAGGGGAAGCCTTGCCGATCAAATACAACAACTCTTCTCTTCAAAATATGTTTGGGGCCTGCAGTAATCAACTCTCAAAAATGTTAGTTTTGAGATCCAGATTTTCTGCCTTCAGTGGTCCTTTGTAGAGTGTCAATATTTGTGACGTCACATACGGGACACGGCTGTCTAGTTGCATACTGCTACACAGCACTGAGCTGTTCGTCCAGTGTGTGACGTCACTATTTAGAGCTCGCTGGGCTTGTGTGTTTGACTTACGTTCAGGGGCGTTCGAGGGTCTTGAAAAATTGCATTTTACGCCTTTCCATGATATCTATATGATTTCTCAGCAAATTGTTCATGTTTTTCAAGAGAAAATCTTTCCATCCATATGTAATTTGTTCTAATTATGAGTTGTTAGTGAATTTTCTTTGTGTAGCTCCTTTAAAGGGATTGTTTAACAATGTTAAATCTGAGATACACGGTCCTATGTGTTATCAGTGTCTATGATATGGTGTAAAATTGAAGCCCTAAAAAAATTGTGCTTCAAAATGATCACGAAGTGCCTCAAAAAAGTAAAAATCTTTGAGTGACCGGTTTTACCATACTCGTTTTCCCCAAAACCGTTGGCAAACTCAAAATTTAATTTCGATTTTCAATCATAAATATCTTGATAATCAGACAGGCGATCAGCTTGTAAAAGTCATGGGGGTTCCTGACTGACCTAAAGGTTTATAATTATCATTGCAGCATGAGCTAAATCCAGGATTTTTTTAAAGGATCTAAGACAAAGTTACCGGATCCCTTTAAGGAGGCAGTGTTGCATAAATGCATCGGTGATGAGAAGCGAGATGAGGGTAAAATAAGATTATCTTTGTCACCTGCTATTGCCTTTTACATATGTGCAATACCCCTCAGGCAAGATGCAATTACTCTCGATATCGACTTTGTACGCAGACCTGTGCAGTCAGTATGGCATGTATTTGAACGTAATACAGCTAACCTTTCAAATGATGAAAGCACAATCCATCACGTGTTGAGAATGAGAAGGACGTAACACTCTCTTTAAGGGTATAGAGAAATTGACACCATCTTGATCTATTCATTGTATCAACATGTAGCAGTAGTGTCCCAAATCTTATTCCTCTTCCTTTTTTCAAACATCAATATCATAAAATTACGTGATAATAAGTTGTCCCATTTTGTTTTTAACCAAAACGGAAATATTTAAAGAACAAGAGGAATTCCAATGCCTGCATGCTCAGCTCTTTAAGGAGGAGGCCCTTTTATTTCCCTTTTTTTTCTTTCAAAATGGCTGCTCAAAATGGCCGCTGGGTACATTTTCCCTGACAGTCGGGCTATTTTTCAAGATGGCTACCGACATTTCAACAAAAAAAATTAATCAGAAATAGATCCAATTTAGCAGTGTTTTTCACATTTTTTTTCTTTAAAAAAAAAAAATTTCAAAAAAAAATAAAATAAATAGAAGGTGGCCCCCAAAAAGGAAGCGGGCGGGGATGCTAAACATGATGTATATATTTTTTATGGCCTTAATGTGGGATTTTTTTTTTCAACGAGGGGAAAATAGTACATAATGTCAAACTGGCAGTACTTGTACTCTGATAGAGCATTGGATTGCTTTATTATTCCATTACGAATCTCTAACTTGTCCCTAGTTCAGACTACCAAGATCCATAGTATTGCTATACGGTACTATAATCATATACATTGTAGCAATACAATAAGTTATCGCCTTTTCCATAGTCGGAACAATCTTTAAAGGCTAAGTCCACTCAAAAAAAAATAATTTGCTTTTAATAGATGCAGAAAAACAAGAGAAACAGAGCAAAACAAATTTAAAAAGGAAGTTAAGAAACAATGGAAATCGCAAATTGCCAATTTGGTTATCAGTTTGTGACGTCATTGCCTCACTATTTATCAATTGCTATTTTTATCCCATTCATTTCCCTTTCAATCCCCAAAAGCCTGATTTGCCCATGCCTTTGCCCAGGTTATATGACTTGTATCATATTGCGTGCATGACATTTCACAATATTCTTTATAAATTTTTTATATAACATTTTACATGCTTTAACTGAAAGAAATTACTCTATATTAGTGCATCCACACAAAAATATATTACTATCAATATAACTTGGATGCTGATGCGAGGAAATAAGATTCTTAGGGGGAAAATGGGAAATTTATATTATCAATATAAAGAAAACAATTAGTGGATAGTGAGGCAATGACGTCACAGACTCATGAGTGAGTTGTCAATTTTTTTTTTGATTTTCAAACTTTTTTTTTCTTTATCCGATTTTGCTCAAACCTTTTTTGATTGGTTTGTCTGATTTTTCTGCTTCTATTTAAAGTAAATAATAATTGGAGTGGACTTGCCTTTTAAGAGAAATATTGTAAAGAGAAACGAATGGTTAAGCATCGTTTCAACTTTCAAATGAAAAACTAACAAGAGAATCAGGGTTTCTCTCTTCTGACCATCGTACAAAACCATATAAAATGACAGGGCGTATAGTGAGCGTGCACTGATGATTGGCTAGCTGTTACATCAACAGACCTCTTCAAAATAAGTTTGTTCAGACATTTCTTAAAGGTAATACAAAGTTTTGGGAAATTTTGAAAATTGGGTGGATAGTGATTCTTTACAATTTTGATATATTTGGATGCCCCTGTGGATGAATTATAAGCACAAGAAAAATTAACCCCTAAAACACTTCTGCTTTTAAGAAAAATTGATTATAAAAATTTACCGGCGCTCCCGTTAAATTTTGATGAATTTCAAATAGCGACTACGGCCATACATTTTTAGCTGCGACCATGAAAATCTCAGAATATGTAGTTGTGATATATAATTTTCAAACGATAGTAGCTAATTGGTCGATTTTAGTCAAGAAACATTGTTTTATAGCTTAATTAATATCTTGACCTTGAGAGAGAGAGCTATACAACATAAAGAGTTTATTATTTACAATTTCATATTTTTAGACTCGATTTCAACCGCGACAACAATCACTGAATATTGTAGGATCGCATATGCTTCCAATATGTTCATTTGAACCAAATTCATTACCCCATACCAAAACTTTGTATTACCTTTAAGGTGATGTTGTTATTTGGTGTGTACGCCCCTTTCGCTTCACATTCACAACGATTCTTTAAACAAACGGCCTTCTCCATACCAGTTTCATATAAATATCCCCTTGTCTAAACAGGCTGTCAGACTGTGTTCACTGACGGAACATGATTGGAATGGAAGCTGACAAGAGCACCCTATGGTTCTAAACCATTCTCTACATGCTTCCATCCGACTACCATATTGAGAGCATACCAGTGCTAATAAGTACCATTGATGTGACATTCACAATGGAGTAGGAGGCATGTGTATTATAGACAGTGTATGTTCATTCTGTTTTTGTGTACAATAACTGCAATTACTGTTCCTTCTCGCTTCTATGACTAATGCTTGTTCTATTCTGATAAACAGTAATTAATAGGGCATGTGTAAATAAATATCAAGAAGATTGCCTTTTCCATACAAGTACCGAGACCAACCATCATTGCATCAGATTAAAAACATTTCCAAAATTAGTAAGTCGTTATCACTTATCAGTTACAAGTTCAAACAACTGCATGCTACACAGCACTAACCTCATAGTGTATAGATAAATACGGTAAAGAGGAAATATATCATGTAAAAGATCATTTTAAGTTGGTAGCTAACTGAAGAAATAGTAATCATAGAGTAATATGATAAATCACACAAATATTTGCACAGAGTACAGTACATAGGTCATGGCAACATTTTGTAATGGTAAAAATGGCTGATTTCTTTCCTTTACAATACAGTTTTTGAAAATACATGTAGAAATTAAATACCACTAAGGAAGATTATCTTAAAAGACTTGAACATTTAGAAAATAGCAATAACATATTTTCTCACTAAAATGGTTACTACACCCTGTATGTACGTTACACGTATACACAGTACACTGCGAAATTGTAGTTTTAACCAAAACATTTCCCGTTCTTGACAATTAATGTGCAAAACATTACCTTTAAAAAAAAAAGATTTACAAGAAGATCCTTTACGAAGCTTCTGTATTTTCATTTTTAAAATATGAAATTACCTTTTGAAAGTAGCCTCTTCTTGAAGTTTTGTCCTTCACCTGTCGAAAGTAGACAAACCCGTATAAATGAGCAGCATCAATCTAAGGGTTGAGCAAAACAAAACAAAACAAAGAAGATATTATGATGAAAGTGTACCAATCACCTGAAAAAAATAATTTGTGTATAGTTAGAATGTATGAAATCAACTGAGGCTCTTTACGACGAGAAAGCTAACTATGTCGGTATGATACAATGTAAATGAAAGTAGAACTCTATCTATAGTCAATGGTATTTGGGACATATTGGTTAACCCCCTGTGATTCTCTACAAAGTACATGTACATGTAAGTAGCACTGCCAGTGACTATAAAGGTTAATTCAGAGCTTGGGGGTAGCAAAGGGGTTAATCTTTTAGTAGCTCTGAAGTCTGATGAACCACAAGAAAGATTCCAGTAGGCGCGTCTTCATCATCTCGAGATTGCCAAATAGCCCGCTATTTCTGATTTGGGAAATAATCCCGAAGTTACAAATTGCGTCTTCATCAGCTCGAGATTTGACCTCGAAACTTGCACTCGACCTTGAGAAATTAGCTCGAGATATTTTGCTCATCATTAGCGCATAGTGTGAGTCTTCGGTCTGGTGAAGACGCACAGGACAAATAGCTGGATATTTTGGCAAATAGTGGGATATTTTGCAAACTATCCCAAGATATCTTGGGATGACAATCCCGACCAAGTATCCCGCTAATTGCTACTTCGGTCTGATGAAGATAGGCAAAGTAGCTGGATAGTTTGCGATCGGGATAGTTCAAATAGCTGGATATTTGGCAATCTCGAGATAGTGAAGCCAGGCCTAGTGAGATCTTGACCTTCTCTTTGAGGTGGAGAAGGACATAAATAATGCAGCAGCCATAATTCACAGGCACACTCTCGCCCTAAGGGGATTCCACATCTCCAATGGGATATAAAGTCACAAAAGTTCAAGCGAAAACTGATCATTTATAGCTAGCAGATATGATTTAATTCTTCACTTTTTTTCTTCCAGGGATTTTGTTTACGTTATCATAAAAATATATCAAAGAAATTTCAGACAACCAAGAAAGAAAATATCACAATTTCAGTGCTTACTTACTAAAGTCTCTGGTGGTCATTGGCTTTTGCAGGTAATGTTTAAGTCCACATTTTGAAGGGGCACACAAGGACACATTCTGTCATTTCAATTTCTTTTTTTCTTTCTCACTTCATACATGTATATAGTGCAATTACTTTTAAAAAGGGTTGTGTGCCAGTTGTAATGATGACCCCTCAAAAGGCCTCAATCCACCACTAGTTATATTAAGAATATTCTTCAATCTGCAGGGAACCACTGACTGTATTTTCCCCCACACACATAACCCCATTTACTTTCTAAAAATTGTTTATATATTTGAAAAGAATAGCCTCCTCCTCTATCGTGGTACATTTATCCAGATTTTCTTTCGCAGAAGAACTGATTGGAAAATTTGATGTGCACAGCCCAAATCTTGGAAGTCATCCCACAGCAAATTGGGGATTGATTGCATTTTATAATAACAGGATCCTTCCCTAATTAATTGAGTTGGACGCTGTGGCTGCTGGAGTAAAAAGGGGTTGTGCTATATGAGAAATGTCACTTCGATTCGCCTGGAAATACAATCCCCATTTGATATTGATTGCCTGTCTAAGAAACCAGGATGTACATGTACATGTATGTTAATTGGCATTGCACAGATTTTGAAACGGCTGCTCATCCAATCTTCCCAACCCACTTATGTTTGCTGATTTGCTGGTGTTATTGTTAAGAATCTCAGGTACCTGATGTATGTATCATTATGTACAACTATGTTTACAGTACCCTCATGAACTAACATACTTTGGCTGAAAAAGAGGATTCATTGATTAATAATTTACTTTCAGAAATGGAGTTAGATGTTGTGGCTGCATCAAAAAACAAAATGCAATATTGCCATTTTAGGAGAAAAATTAGCTGGAAATCATGGGAACTCCTATTGAAAAATACTACACAGGTACATGGTGCATGTCCAGATGAGGTCTAAACAAATATTGAGAATTCATAGTTTCATACATGTACATGTATGCATTTTGTTACTTTATCATCCTATTGCTTCCATGCACTTTTGAAATTGTCATCAATCATCCATTGCCAGAGGTGATAATGAGCAATTAAACAAAAGGGGGGGGGGGTTCCCCCTCAACCATGCCCCCCTCGAGTTAAAAAGAAAGAAGAGGATTTGGGGGGGGGGTGGCATCTAACAACATTCTCCCCTTTTAAGTAAGAAAATTGGGGGAAATTGGGGGAAAATAGGGGGAAATTGGGGGAAATTGGGAAACAAAAGGGAAAAATAGGGAAGAATAGAGAAAATAAGGGGAAAATAAGGGCAAAATCAGGGAAAATCAGGAAAAAAGGGATAAAAACCGGAAGAAAAAAATCGGGTAAAAAACAAAAACGATTCAAATCAGGTAATTATCAGGCCTGCATTGCCTACGTAATATATTGCTGACCATATTTCAACCCGTTAGATCGCAACTTGTGCAGGTTAGAAATGCTAGAAAGGTATTCAAAATTACCGGTAATGCACAATCAAATTCCTTCAGGATATCCATGATCTATACACGGGTTTGTCAATCTTGAAGGAAGGAATTCAAGGAAATGTGCACTGCTTTTGAGATGACTATCAGAGGCACTCTTGACTTGAGACACACTATCTAACATGCAGTACAGTGTATTTCAACAGGCAGTGTTTTCTCCCTATACATACTACTGTACATGTTCATGAACATGTACAACATGTAAGTATACTGATGGTTTTATAGACGGGATCAATCCAGCACAAATTAGCAATGCTATTATTCCCGTTCAAATTGGTCTTCATTTGTTATGCACTTAAAAGAAAAAAATACATTTCCATATTTGTCCAAAATGTAATACCTCATCATAATTCAAACCAATGCCTGCCCTTGACAACATTGGAACGTGAATTGATTTTACCTATCTCCCAGATTGACAAAGATCTATCCCTTTGCCAAAACAATATACACCTGTCTATTTGATATTCTAAGTACAAAACAAAAGGATAGCTGCTTTGTAAGAATTATTAAATTTTATCTCTGTACTGTCAGTGTGTGGGTTCTCCCTTAAGTTTTCACTGATCTGTTCCAGTCATATTTATGCTCTAACGCAAACTAAATTCAGTAAATTGATGTCAGAGTGAATTTCCCCTTAAAAACTGTCAAACACAGATGAAGAAAAGACAATTTGAATACCTCTAAAAGAGCATTGTGCATGTGTAATTAGTACACTGCAATATATTCTACTTCTCCAGTGCAAGCATTATGAATGTACAATACTGTAACTTCACCGACAATATAACAATACAATACTAACATGCACATTCACCAGATTATTCTCCATTTATAGAGCAACAACTCATATTAACTACACAACAGTTCTACACAACAGTTCTACACAACAGTTATGCCATTCCCCTAAAATAAAACATTACTTCCTAAAATATTATCACATTGGTTCTGAATTTGATTTTTTTTTTTTCCAACTCGTCTCGGATCTCACATAATTATTCATTTTTAACTGATCTCAAATGACATGTAATTATTTATTTTCAAGTCATCTTTAATAAGATACAATTATTCACTTTCAACTCATCATAAATGACATGTAATTATTTTCACATTTTATTTCTTCAACTCATGTTAGATGTCATGTAAATTTGTAATTGTTTATTTTCAACTGATCTTAAATGACACATATTTTTTATTTACATCTTGTTTCTTTCATTCTCTTGTTTACTTCTTTTCACATTTTTCTTCTTCCTTCTCTTTAATTTATAATGCTTTCCATTACCAATATTTGTTGTGGGTCTCTTTATCATTTTCATTCTTCCACAACCCTATTTATCTTGCCTTGATTATGAATTGCAGAGTATGGCACTTCGAAACAATGTACCTGAACTACAATTTTTTTTAACACTTACAAAAATTCTTCAACGTAATCTTACCTGTAATGTAGGAAGGCAATTCTTGTGGTACTCTGTACTCTCTTTACTATTTATGAGGTTTCTCTTGTCTGGGCACCGTCTTATCCTGAAGCTGAATTGAGTGTCTCCCATACACCCTGGAAAGTAACAGACCATTTGAAGTGAAAATAGTTTGCTTAATTATTTTCAATAAGGGTAAATTTTGATAATTTCAGAATGCATCTAATCATCTACCCAACCCCCTTGTGGGTTTTTAGCCAGGATTTCCATATTGAAGAGTATGGATTCCAAAAAGGGGGCTTCCATAGGTATGATGTAGATATTATTTTTAATCATTGGGAATCGGCAATAACCTCCTGGCTAAAAGGCTGCCCCTTAGCTACCCTTGATCTTAAATTAAAAGTCTGCTCTAATGTGTTAATTCAATCATAGATTCGAAAGCCCTCTGACAATGAAATAAAAAGAACTATTTAATATTGAGCATATTATATGATTAAGGAGTTGACTTGTTTATCAATCTATTTATTAATATGAAAGAACAGTACCATTTTTTAAGAAGAAGACAGATAAATGTAAGTATTACAAATAGAAGTCATCGTTGATTTTAATTAGATCGCTTTCTTTTATCCTTTTTTGAGGGGTCATATTATGAATATCTCTAAATCCTCTAAAGTAGATGTTTAATATTGAAAAATATTATTCAATTAAATTCAAATGAACATTTATTTTCTTCCAAACAATACAATTTATAAGTAGGAACATAAATATAATTAAAGAACTTGTATTACAAGGAAGAAGGCGTGAAACCTGAAAAGCTTAGCTATATAAACTTGTTTCTGGTAATCTTGAGGGTTCAAATTAAAAGTGCCTTTAATTTCTACAGAATTTGTTTTCCACAGGCTATACATTTCATATCTGCAACTACATGTAACTCTGACCTTATATTCACCTTTGCTCATATGATAAAATGTATAAATCAAATTAAATTAAGATTTATCTTACCTGAATTTGAATCTGGAAAAGACAGGTAGCATATATTCATTTTCTGTAAAGAAAAATAACATGATATAGAAATATTGGTATTTTAAAATTATGTTTGAATGTAAAAAAATACTAGATATCAAATTAACATTTTGCGATCAATTCTTCAGAATAAAAAAATCCCATTCATTAAAAAAAATATGACTTTATAACACAAATAAAGAAACAGAGCTATTCAATTACAATACACTTGAGATGATCCATACTGAAACACCTCTTTTTAATATTCCTTTTAAAGCTTATCTGCCGTAGTTTGCAGGAGGGATTAGACTGCCCTGCAAGGTCACTGGACAGGTGGTTATCTCATCAACTCAGCTCTCAGTTAACATAAGAAAAAGAGGATCATGGGGGACCAATGGTCACCGATTAGGCATTGTTTGTTATATAGAGGGCGCAATTAGCTACAAGTAGTGCAGTGGGCCTTTAAGTTGTAGATCAAAAGCTTTCTATGCATCAATATTTTTAAAAAGTCTTCCCTCCAATTCAATCTATTATGTAACCAAAGCTGGATTTCATGGAATTTTCAAAAATATTAAGATCATATAATGATTATATAACATATTTATAAGTTGATTATCATATTTTTTTTTAATAAAAAGAAAAGAAAAGTGAAAGTTCATTTGTTTTAAAATGTAAATCACTTTACTTATTCTTACCTCTTTTTCTGTAAGCTTGATGTGTGATGGGTAGATAAACTGTAATAGAAGAAAGGAGAACGTGATCATTCCAATCAGGGTAAAGGAAATTCCAGCAAGACCCTATATTCAGAGGTTTTAACAGTTCTTTCTCATAATCTAAATACTACACTTTCCCCCAAAAATGAGTAGAAAGTATGCTTTCTAAGGATTGGTGATTTTACAAATCTTTTAATTTTCAAAACATGATCTAATTAAAATTATACATCAACTCGATCACATCGAATGATTTAGAATACATTTTTTTAAATATAGTTAGTAATTTTTTCAAGTTCTTTGTATGATTATAACCTCATAGTCATACTCTTGACCCACCAATCAGCTTTAATCTGTGCTGTTAACTATTTAGGAGTCGTCAGTTGTCACTTACATGTAAGTACCGAATTTGAGTGAAATCATTTGAGTTTTGTACAGTGCTGTTTGAAATGCTGAGAATCGATAAAACAGCTTTTAATACACAGCCAGGATAGTAATGCAGCTACAGTGTGAATGACTAGAGCCCGCAGGCCATGATGGCCATCCTCCCCGAACCCACCCTGGTGTAACCAAAACTAATTACAATCTACAGTCAATATATGTAGGAACTTAATTATAAGTATCAATGTACAACATTAATGCAAAAGGAAAACGGGTCACAGCTGTACAGTAAATTGAACAAAATGGCCAGATAATTTAACATAGTCAGTACTCAGTAGGGGCGCCGGTCCGAGAATAAGGATCATCTGCATAAGTGAGGATCGTCTTCGTAAACGCGGACCGATGCGTCATCAAAAATAAGGATCGTCTGCATTTTCGCAGACGTTTCATATTTTTGATTGGCGCGTTGGCAATGCGAAAAAAGGATACATTTTTCCCCCATCGCCAGCAGGTGGTTGTAACCCGAAACCCGCAGAGCGCCGATGAAAAAAGACATCCGCGAAAATGCAGCCGATCCTTATATTTGAGGACGTGTTTTGTCCGCGTTTATGAGGATGATCCACATTCTTGGACCAGCAGCAGCGCCTCTACTTATACTAGATCTAGATCTAGACTAGATCTAGACTAGTAGATCTACTAGATCTAACATTAACAGTCAAGAGAAAAGAAAACAACAATATTATTGCTCTTAGTCTTATAAGGAATACTAAAGCATAATGGGAAAATAAAGAACCCCCTTGTCAATTCTACATCAAATGCCAGGTGGGCAGACATAAAAATAAACAGAATAGTATATTATAGGGCTCCCATTTATAATCAAAACAACAAAAGAAATGAATGACAGAGGAACAAAGGAATGGGACTACAGTCGGCACACTGTTAAGGCACCTGTTAAGATGTTTTTCGCACTCACCTCAAGAGCTTGTCCGAGTTCAAGATCAAACGTCACAACACAAAAACAATGAAACCATTCTGAAAATCCATCCCATGGAAGGATCTTCCGACTTCCATCTCTTGTATTTTCCGACATTTCTTCATTATCTGTGTCAGAAATACGACGAAAAGCGACTTTGTTTTCACCTTCCCGTAAAGTCGCCATTGTTTCTTTCTCGAGGTTGCGCGTGCGCTCTATCGTATTGAGTATCAGTGATTCAAACTAGGAGGGGCCAACAAAGTGACAAACATAAACAACAGACTTGTGCATAGATGCGGCTTATCATAATAATTTTCCTTGAACTCTTTTATTCCATTTCTAATAGAACTTTCTGTTGCTATTAAAACACAGTATTTTTAGTAAGAGCACTTTTTTTCTTACCCGAATGAAAACAAAAATGAGAAGAAACTGAAGAGGAGAAAACGAAATAGGAAAAGGCAATTATTATATACAAGGAGAATCTATAAGAAGAGGAAAGAAAAGAGGAAAAGAAACAGGAAGAAATAACGAGAGAAAAAAGGGAGAAAGAAAGAGAGAAAAAAATGAATAAATGAGTGAAAGAATGAGGGATCGAGAAGAAGAAGTAGAAAAAGAAGAAGAAATGCTGACCGGGCAGAAAGAAGGAAGAGAAAAGGAGACTTGACTATAATAGAAGAAGAGAAGGGAGATGGTGAGGAATGATCGAGCTGGGCGAGGAAAGGGGAGAAGCAAAAGACCATACCTCAAAATTGCTGAAAATTACTTTAAAATCAGATTTATTTTAGCACGATCGAGGACAATGCTTAAGGGGGCACCTTTTCATTCTTCACTAACCTATATCCCGCCCCAGTGGCGTAATGAGCAAAAACGTTTGGGGGCCTGACAAAAAAAATTCCGAATCACCCCACTCTAACATGCAGGTCCCGCTGAATTACGTTTCTCAAAGTGGGGTCTAGGGGCAAAGCCCCGGTGGGGTTCAAGGGGCGAAGCCCCCGAAGCTCAAGGGGTATGGGCATCAGTGGCGGATCCAGGAATTTCTTACCGGGGGGGGCACAAAATGGCATGGGGTGAAATATATGTAAAACGATGAAGCAACAGAATGAGGCTTTAACGGCGAGGGAGCGGAGCGACCAAGCAGGGGGTGGGTCGAGGAGGGGGCTCTGGCCCCCTCCCAGAGTAAGAAGCATTTGCAATTTTAGAACCAAATTAGACTCATTTTCAGGCATTTCCTGTAGTAATATGACGTAAAATTGCTTTCTCCTACCCCTACCAAGAGTAGGGATCTTTTCCATTTTGAGAACCACATTTGGCGCATCAATGTCCACCGGCACTTCATGGAAAAAAAGAGGCCCTCTGATTAGTTGGAAGTTAGAGAAAAGTGATCTGTCACATCGTGAGACGTTGTATAGCTTTGATGCCGCACAATGCACAACACGGTGATCCGGTACTTCACCAGTAGTACTTGCAAAAATTATCTCGAGTGTAAACTGTGTCGTTATCAGGGGCGTCGCTAGATCTTTTTCAGTGGGGGATGGGGGGGGTGTAGAGGCCGCCGACTACCGACAAAATGAGCCACCAATATTATTACCGACAAATATAAAAATGCCAATGTCCAAATGTCTACAAATTTATCCCTTTAAACCCGGGCCAGGAACTAAGTTATTTTTCAGTTTTCCCCTCCCGCGCGAAGCGCGGAAGCTTTGACACTTCATTAAATTATTAGAGAAAGAAGACGATCCGTTGTACTGTTCTCGACTCTTCAAGCTTGTTTCGCCCCTCCCGCGCAAAGCGCGGAAGCTTTGACGTTTAATTTAATTATTAGAGAAAGAATACGATTCATTGTACCGGACCCGACTCTTCATCCTTGTCTGAATTCAGTTCCCCTCCCCTCCCGCGCTAAGCGCGGAAGCTTTGACGTTTCAATTCATTATTACTCTTAATCCTTGTCTGAATTCATTTTCGCTCATCCCGCGCGAAGCGCTGAAGCTTTCACGTTTTATTAAATTATTAGAGAAAGAAGACGATTCGTTGTATCGTGTTCTTGTCTGAATTTAGTTTCCCCCCTCCCGCGCAAAGCGCGGAAGCCTTCGACACTTCATTAAACTATTAGAGAAAGAAGACGATCCGTTGTAATGTTCTCGATTCTTATTTCTTGTTCGCCTATCCCCGGAAGCATTGACGTTTCATTTAATTATTAGAGAAAGAAGACGATTCGTTGTACCGTTCTCTACTTTTAATCTTGTCTGAATTCAATTCCCTCACTGGGCCCCTTAACGGTATATGTGCAGTGTTATATGATGTAAGTATAGAACGCTCGTTCGCAAATCTGTGCATGTTCATCAGCCCGAGTGGTGGTTAGCATGTTATCTCCCGACAGTGCTTTGCACAGTAGCTTCTGGAAAGGAATTAGTGTTACTGTTCGTGGCCACTGTAAGGCCCTTAGTGACTATAAAAAACATATGCTCTTCCTGGCTATTTGGGAATGGGTCAGTTTGCAAGAAATAATGGAGAAACTTTAGCATTTTGTTGAAAATCATGTGATAAGAGGACACTTTTTTTTTTGGTCTCCAAATTGAAAATTTAACATTTTGCTCCGTTGGGGGGGGGGGGGGGGGGGGGGTAAGGTCAACTATTTTAGGTCAGCCATTGGTATAATCTTTTTTTTTTTTTTTTAATTAAAAGAAAAGTAGACAAAAAAATAGCCAAAGGGGGGGGGGGGGTTTCCTCCAAAATACACACATAAAAAATACCAAAGGGGGGTTCAACCCCAACCCCCCCCCCCCCCTGCGTACGCGCCTGCTATATGCGATACAAAGGGACTTGGTAACATAATCGTTCAGATGCGCGGATAGGGGGTGTCTGAGGGGGAATGTGGCCCCCCTCAATTGAAAGCAAATTGAATTTTTAAACTCAATCAATGGGGCAATTTGGTCATAGGCCTACTTTTTATATTGTGTAACCCACCCTTGAAAATCGGGGGGGGGGGCAGAGGGACATGTCCCCCTGTCCACCCCATGATTGACGCCCATGGCTGCATAGACAGTGGCGTATGTAGGTATCATTAATTTTGACCCCCCCCCCCCCCATCGGGCCCCGCCAATAAATTGATAATGATACATAACTGTACGTGAGCGATCCAAGCAAGAAAATAAAATAAAATTTTATTGTACATCGAAATCCACGCAAGCCGAATGTGAGGATTTTCGGTCATCCCCGCCAAGAATAATTTTTGATTTGATCATTTTGTATATGATAACATACATTAAATATTTAGGCGCTCCCCGAGAACAGTGGTTGCTCGAAAATTGGATCTCTAAAGACTTTGAAGAACCCCAGTCCCCCCCCCCCCCACCTCGTGTGTCTATTCAATTCAATTTCAAAATTCAAATTCAAATTTGATTGATTTTAATCCAAACTAGTACTAATGGGATAATTCTCAATTTTGTTTATACATTGAATAACAAATTTCAAAATTATAGTGTAACAAAGATAATTGAGTGTCAGAGTAAAGATAAAAATAACCTGGAATGACACAATTTTAACATACTATGTTTTTCTGGAATATTATATACAGGGACGAAAATAAACTATATTAATCGTAATACTTTTTACAATTTTGTTTCCTTTTCTTTTCAAATAAAAAGGACAAAATAAAAAAATGCAACAAACTGGTAAGACAATATACATAATGTTTTATGATAACTAACCCCTCCTCACGAGATGACCCCGACAACTCGCCCTATTCAAAATCCAAACTATTGGGAGACAGTGACTATGGGAAGACAATAAATAGTCCTTTTAACAATACTAAATTACATCGAGATTAATAATAATGTTTTTGTTTTTTAATCAATCTACTAATTTCGTAAATGGTCATAATGTAATAGACTTAATATTGCAAAAGTCAAAATATATTAATAGCATAAAGATAAACAGCAATGGAATATAAGAGGTAAGAAATTACGTGGTCAAAAAACAATACTTGAACTTTGTATCTATTTATACATACATATAAACATACATACATACACACATATGTATTTATTAACTAATTAGCGGAGGAAGGGGATGTTATGTGCATTTTGATGTTGATTTATTATTTAGTAGTTCTATTCGTTTGTCGTACATTTCGCTTATTCCAAATATTATTATAATTGCATTTATGTCGGTGTCGTCATTGGACATCATAGTTTAAATTTCACATCGTTGTTTAGGTCTTGAAAGTCCGGTACTACATTTTTAAGTTTAGAGTATATTTTAAATCTGGGTTAAGTACACTGTCGCATAGTTGGAATCATTTTTTTTTACCACAATTTATGGAATTATTTTGACAATGATTTATTCCTAATACTAATAGATCTAGCTAATAGTATACATTCTCAGATTTTATTGAATAATAATTTGCCATTGTTTGATTTGCGTGACTGCTAAAGCATGCGTATGCTGCTATGCTTATCAACTAGGGGACCTACGCCCTTAAGTCATAAATGACATTAATGAGGATTAATGCCCTACAAAAGGGCACTAATATTGCAGTTCCCACAGATACAAAATAAAAAATTAAATGCAATAAATTGTCAATAATTCATTGCATTTTACCCCGGCCCACAACATAATTTTTTTTTCTGTACAACCATGCATTATGGCTCAAGGCATGGGCACACAGAATTTTTTTCCTAAATTATGCCCCAAATCAAGCCATCTATCCATCAATTTTTAAACAAATCTTCAACTTCTGAGGGGGGCACACCCCTCCCCCCCCCCCCTCAGACACCCCCTGCGTTCTACTGTTTAATTTGGCAAAAATTATGCACCAAATCAAGCCATTTATACATCGATTAAAAAAAAAATCTTCAACTGCTGAGAGGGGCACATCCCCCTCAGACACCCCCCTGCGTTCCTGTTCCTTGTTAGTTAAACTTAAGACTGTTTTCTTTTTAAATATGGCAAAAAAAATGCACCAAATTGAGCCATCTATCCATGAATTAAAAAAAAAAAATCTTCAACTTCTGAGGGGGGCACATCCCCCTCAGACATCCCCTGCGTTCTCCTGTTTAATTTGGCAAAAATTATGCACCAAATCAAGCCATTTATACATCAATTTAAAAAAAAAATCTTCAACTGCTGAGGGGGCACATCACCCTCAGACACCCCTTGCGTTCTTGTTCCTTCTTAGTTAAAATTAAGACTGTTTTCTTTTTAAATATGGCAAATAGAATGCACCAAATTGAGCCATCTATCCATCAATTTCAAAAAAATCTTCAACTTCTGAGGGGGGCACATCCCCCCTCAGACATTCCCTGCGTTCTACTGTTTTCTTTTTAATTTGGCAAAAAGTATGCTCCAAAACGAGCTATTATTTTAAGCATCAATTTAAAAAAAATTCTTGACCTTCTTAGGGGGCACATAGTCAGACACCCCCCCCCCCCCCCCCCTGCGTCGCGCGCCCATTCGCCCCCCTCACAAAATAACCTGGCGCCGCCCCACAGTGGGCCAGGGAGGGACCAAAGTGCGCCAAAACTCATGTTTGGGGATTTCTTTTTTATAAATCCAGAGGAAATGTTTAGATTTCCAGGGATTTTCGCTTAAATTGTATTACCAACATTTTCTCTGATGTCTAAGCTTTAAGTTGATACCAGATTTGGCTGCCCGATTCTGCCGCCCGTTATTATGTTAGAGCTGTTTTCCTTGCAACATTGCCCCGAAAAATGTGTTTATTTTGGTCTGCGGTGTCAGAACAAGTGTCACGCGCCCCCTCGCGCCGTGATTTATGACCACGAATCCTTCATGAATCATCCGCGGACCCCAAAAACCCACATTTTCGGGGCAATGTGGCAAGGGAAATCGGCTCTAACATAGCAATGGGCAAGTTTGGGCAGCCAAATTTGGTATCAACTTGAAGCTTAGACATCAGAGGAAAGGGTGGTATTAAAATTTAAGCGGTACACCGCGGAGATCTAAACATTTCTTCTGGATTTATAAAAAAAACATGGATAATTAGTCCATTTTCAGTGAATTACCCTATAATATATCATGAAGATTGTGTTTCTATTAATTTTAACCCATTCATTCAACGAAATGAACTATCAGGAATATGTGAGAGCAATTTCATATCAATAACTTTAAAACTTCATGTTGATTTGAAAGATTTATAAAATAGGTCACTTTTGCACTAAAACTGTGAATATGTAGGATTTTGCTGTTTGAAGTAGTAAATTTATACCCTTATTGTGCATACCGGAATTAAATATTTCACTGAGGTATTCCTCTATGTATTACCTTTCAACTGGGCAAGAAAAAAATAGAAAAAAATAAATCACCCAAAAATAGTTTTGGCGCACTTTGGTCCCTCCCTGTCCCACTGTGCGCCCTGTCTGAACTTGTGTCCCCCCCCCCCCCCCCCACGGTCTAAAATGGATTGACGCCCATGCTCTGGGGGCGCTAGAGCCAACGACTACGAAGTATGCGTACACCATAGAGATATATACTTAATTAAGTATATATCTCTATATGGCGTACACCTTTATTGAATCTCATGATCAGGTGATATGTCACGTGATATATAAACATTTATCTCCACTACACTAGTTTTCCGTCTTCTTTTGAGCTACGACGTGTCTTGTTCTGAAATTTTAATATATTCACTGTATTTTAGTAATTATGACGTTTGTATACTCCATATTACCCCTTCTTATCCTGACAGTCGGAGCTGAAGCCAAAGATGAAATTAAAGGGGGAATGTTGTCTTTGCAAGATTCAGAATCTCGCGAAGTTAGGTCGCTGGATGGAGTGTGGGCGTTTCGCGCCGATGACTCGCCCGGGCGGTCTGCCGGGTTTGACGGTCAATGGTGGTCTCGGCCGCTGAGAGAGGTATTGTAGGCTCACAATAATGTTACACAGTATAGAGTCTACAATTAGACTGCAATTCAAGAGGACCTAAGATCTCACTTACATAAGTGAAAGCCAATAAATCACAAGTAGTCTAGGCCATATACCAATTAGACCATTATTAGAAAGAGTCTATAGACGGTATACCAGCAGTTGAAATCTGTTTGACTAGCCTAGACCGAAAATTCTGTCTCTTTCGTTCGTTAGGTCTATATTTTTTTGCCTCAGCTCGGAGACAATATGTTTTCTGGTTGTCCATCTGTACGTCCCATTCTTACGTTATCTCAAGAACCAATTGATCGTTTACCGCCAAACTTGGGTCATGTATGTATCTAGACCAAATTTTTCTGTCTCTTTCGTTCGTTAGCCTCTCATTTGGGAAGGGTCGGCTCTCTCTTTAGAGACAGAACAGGCCCATACGCTTTAGTGTTCACGTACGGTGTAACGTTTCTTTACACCAAACTTGGCAAAACTACCGGCCAAATTCCATATTTCACAGGATGTATATCCGGTGCATCTTATTTTGACAATTAATGTATAGGCTTAACTACTTCAGTTCCACTTACCAACTTGACTGAAATAATCTGTTTAATGGTCCCTTTTTAGGAAATTATGGGTCAAAATTGACATCCATGATAAAAATCTTGCAGCGGTAGTTTAAACTCTCGCTGCGCATGACGTCATCTAAATCTCATCCCTTCTAGTCTACGCCGAAGGCAAAATGATTATAACGAAAAAACTGTGCATGTCATTACGAACTCGTAGCTCGGGGCTCCTTATGTATGCAAAATTAGCTTGTGAACGCATTGTCAATGCTGACAGATGGATTACTATCAAACTCGGGACATGTATGTACCTGCCAATGAACTGATTAGATTAGATAATAATATATAGATGAAGCGCTTACATTAGGTACATCGTTGTATCAATGTATTGGGCGCTTTATAAAAGCAGAATACTATTATTATTATTAGGGTCATGAGGTCAAAGTTTAAAGGGTCATACATGTAAATGAAAAATAGCTAGTCACGATATTCTGAGACTTGTTAATGGATTACAATCAAACTTGAATTTTTTTAATTGCTTCTGTTTTGGTTTGTAAAAACGCTCTATGCATGCAGTCGAACATCCATCTAGTTTCCTTCAGTAGTGCAATAACAAACTCCGCAAGGAATAATTCAAGGTTGTATTGCAAACACCAAAGTTATTAATTTTTCTTTTCTCCCCCAACTTCCAATTAGTCTGGACCGGTGATAGATATGCCAGTACCATCCAGCTACAACGACATCACCCAAGATCGCTCACTCAGGGATTTTGTAGGCTGGGCTTGGTATGAGAAAGAGTTCTACCCTCCAAGGTCTTGGAGCAAGAACGGTCAGAGGATGGTGCTACGGTTTGAAAGTGCCCATTATGAAACTATTGTTGTACGTGCCATGTTTTCTGTCATAGCATGCTAAAGAGAATTCAAAGTATTGAATTGGATTCATATTAAATTTATATAAGTGAAAAGTTAGTCACTTTGTGTGTTGGAACAAATTGGATAGTGCTTACATGTTCTGGTAGATTGTTATTCCTTCTTTATGCGTTTAATTGATTTAAAGAAATTGCTTAGCATAGGAAGACAAACCAATAACATTAAAGAGATCCAAGACCTTAAATCAGATACAATCTTTCTTTGTTTAAGAATTTTAAAAAGGCATGTATATCAGGAAGAATCAGGGAGAAAAACATGACTAATAGTTATTTAAATTTAGATATCCACACCCAAAGCTAATTGGTAATTTAACTCTTTAGCAATTTGATGGTCGGTTTCATTTGGAGTCTTATCAAGTTGTGTAGAATCAGCAAAAGGGGGTTATTTTCTCATATGTTTGTTGTCCTACAGTTGCCAATGTAAAATGTCTGTATACTTTCATTCAGCTCTAAGCAATCTATGCCACTGATTTTTCAGCTTTCCTTCAAAGTGATTTGATATCAAAGTTAGATCGCCTTTTGACAAATGTCCTTTCTCTCCCTCATTTGCCACAGTGGTTCAACTCCCAAGAAGTGGTTAGGCATTCGGGTGGGCATCTTCCATTTGAAGTAGAGGTAACATCTCTTCTGCACTTTGGACAGCTCAACCGAATTACAGTTGCTGTGAATAATACCTTGACCCCTAATACTCTGCCACCAGGGACGATAACACACTACGATGACCTCACAATGTAAGTTCATAGCCCGTATTCTGAAGTCAGGTTTAACTTTAAACCTAGGTATAAGTCTAGTCTAAGCCTCCCCTAACTCTCAGATTTAAACCTAGGTTTAACATTATGTTTCTAAGCATTTCTAAACCTGGGTTTAACTAAACATGACTTCAGAATACGGGCCTTAGGCCTTAGGGAATATGTGGACAAGTCCAAGGCATCTTGTCCTATTTGACTACATCTCTGATTTTCATTTGCCTGAAGGTTGTGTTGAGCCCATATTCAAACTTTAGATAGTCAGATTAATTATCAAGCAAAAGTATGTTTTATAGTGTCAATCATGATGATTATTACACAATACTTGTTAATGTCACAAAATAAATACCCCAAATTTTGGACTTGTCCACATATCATAAAAGTGTGTGGCTTGCACCAAGTAATGTACCTCCCTACCCAAATAAAAAGTTGGGAGTGTGAAATCCATCATGATCTTTTTGACACCACTAAATGTCTGGTCCTTTCTGTAGAGATCTTCGTAATGTGTACCGGTAATACAATACTCTTGGCAGACATATATAATGTATAAAAATATATTGACAAGGAACACTATCTAGATGACAAATGTGGGCAAATAATAATTTTTTTTTTTAAAGATTTAATTTATTTAGAGCTCCGTTTCCTTGTTGACATTATTTTTGGTCTAGGCTAGTTTATATCTGGCTATTCCCAAGACCCAAGTATGGCCAGTTTGAGACCTGTTTGGATTCAGAGCTACAATGGTAGTTATGCACTCTACGACTTCATTAACTTTCTTCTCTTTATTTATTTTGTTTGGCTTTTTCTCTAGGTATCCACCCAATTATTTTGAGCAGGAATACTCGTTTGACTTCTTCAACTATGCTGGAATCCAGAGATCTGTCAAACTCTACACGACTCCCAAAGGTTACGTAGATGACATTGATGTTGTCACAAACTTCACAGGAACGACAGGTAGGACATGTTTGCTTTAGTTAGGCATGTTTTTAATCTACCCATTGATAGTAGGAGTCGATATTGAAAGAAAAAGAAGCATGTTCCCGCAGCGAAGCATGAAGTTCAAGAGCCAAAAAAGTTGTCCATCAGGACTTGATGATTATACTCTGTTTGATACTGTATTAACTGTTTCGTAGAGGTGTCGTGGTCTAGTGGATATGTCACCAGACTGTGGATCACATGGTTCGTGGTTCAAGTCCTGCTGCGGCACTAGTGTCCTTTGGCAAGACATTAATCTACATTTGCAACTCTCTAGCCATGTGTGATATTGGCACCTAGTAGGAATTTATTCCTTGAAAACTTTTAATGCCTTAAAGCAGCTGGCAGGAATATCAGTTTTCCGGCAATTGCAGAAATTCTGGCTTTTTGATTAATTTTGGTTGTCAAATAGATGTGTATCAATCAGTTATAATATGAATGATCCAGAATAAAAAACATGAATAGTCTTCGAATTGTGATTTTAAGTATACTACCATGTGGTTTGTATATTGTATTGTGCGGCAGATACGAATGATTTGTTAAAATTGCTCAAGCATGCATGCGGTGCATGTGCCTAGCTGTGTGAGCTAACCTTCAGCAGCCGAAGCTAAGCGAATTATACGCACAGCTAGCTAGCTGTGTTCGAATGTTCATCACCGCTAACAGCACTTTTTTATCCAGCCCTAGAGACAATTGCCACTGGAATCCCTGAGCTGGGCTAAAGCCGGGATAATAATATTACTTTGTAGTCGCCTTGAGCATCCCCTGGGTGGGATACCTGTGCAATATAAATGTAGCTAATTTTAGTATCATTATAATTTGTTACTCGAGGTGGATTCAATTGAACACAGTTCATCCATTGCCTGCATTAACCTGGTGGTCTGTATGAGATAATTCAGTAGTCAAAGGTTTAATGTTTATTACAATAGTTTGAATTTCCTTCATTTGTGAAATTCAAAACAGATTCACAAATACTGAAGTTTCATATTATGGAACATTTTCTGTATTCAGGTAAACAATGAAAATACATATTATTATTAGTCAATATCTTCATTACTTTAAATGCAGTTCCAATACTTTTTAATATTTAACAAACAAAGATGATATCAATTTTCTTTGTACTCATGGCTTGCAGGTCATGTGATTTTCAACATTACGGTTGGTGGCGCCCCATCATCGAAAGTGGTAGCTGTTGTAGACCTACTGGACAGGGCAGGTCTTGTAGTAGCTTCGAGTACCAAGATGAATGGGCTACTAGTGGTCAGTGAGGCCAATCTGTGGTGGCCCTACACTATGCACAATGACTCCGCCTATCTCTACACACTCAAGGTAGGAAAATGTCATGATCAATGGAGTAGCCACAGGGGGGAGGGGGTGCACATTTCCCCTAATTGTAGGATGAAAAATGGCCCGGAGAAAAGAAAGAAATGGGAGAGGGAAAGGCAAGGCAATGACAGTGTGAAAAGAACAACCTCCCACAATCTACATTAGTTGTATAGGGCTGTATTAATTATACTGCATATCTTTGCCCCTTTCCCTTTTAAAATGTCAGTTCCCCCTCTATAGATGGACCCATGCTCCACTGAAAATAATGTTTTGAATAATATTAAATTCAAGTCCTGCCATTATCCCAGAAGAGTGATGAATTTGTTTGGTGGTCATGTTTCATTATGTCAAGTATTGTTTTCAATAATGGTGCTATAGTTTGTTTATACGTATTGCTCTCATGTTACACTTAGTGAACATATATTTACCATGTAGATTAGGAGGTGTGCGTTTTGAAAAGGAAGTTAATTATATAAAAGTCTGATAGCATGCATGGGGAAAACTGAAGTACCTCTAAAATTTAAAAGAGAATCATGGGCATACCAGTTCTTGTTTCTGCACTGGAAATTTGAATTCCTTATAAATACAAGATATGAGGGAGGATTGATTCTTTCACTTGTTTTGTTCTTTCTTTTAACAAAGAAGACAGCTAGGGCTTTGCACTAAACCACTTGCACTAACCATTTGCCCTAAGAATCCAAATTGACATTTCTAAGGTGTGGGATGGAGTCTCTGCTTAATTTCCAATGTTCTTGGTGTCCAGTGATAATATTAGGGATCTCATATGCATCAAAAACCTCTTAGTGTACATCACTATTGTTTTGATTTCCAACTGAATTCATAACTTCTGTTTTGTCTCTCCTTTCTCTTCCTTGTTTCAAGGTTTCAGTTTCCTTCGAGGGCACAACTGATGTCTATCGTCTCCCCGTTGGTATCCGCACAGTGAGAGTCACAAACAAGCAATTCCTCATCAACAATCAACCGTTCTACTTCCATGGTGTCAACAAACATGAAGATGCAGATGTAAGAATGTAATAATGATAATAATATTCTGTTCCTGTATAGTGCATAGTATATTTATATAATATTGACTGGCCTTGAGGGGTATATCAGAAATATTGACCAAGCTCAGATCATATTGCCCCGAGTCGAAAGACGAGGGCAATATGGTCTTAGCGCGGTCAATATTTCTGATATCCCCCGAAACTAAAGCCAGTCAATATTTTTATTGTTATCCAAATCAGACATCTAGAGCAAATACAGACATCCACCATGACAATCTCAAGAACTGAACAAACTTTGTCAAACCAACACTGTGCATCCAGTGCTTGACAAAATTTTCGATACACTACAAACAGTGTGTATTTGGTGTGATTATTACGTCACAATAGAGTGCGCGCATAGTGCGCAGGTTCTCGTACGCATAATATTAATAGATGCGCAATGAAAATGCGAGACCGTGGAAAATACCAAGGTATATTTTCACTCGTCTCTACACGCAAAGTCAATACGCGCAGGGAGACCAAGGAAAATACAAAGAATATACCCCTCCGTTCCCACTGCTGGTGAAAACTAGGGCAATACGGTTTTGTAAATGACCAGCTCAGATGTCTGATACGGGTAATAATATGATATAACTTCCTCAAAGAGCTTTGGAAATGATTACCCTTTCTCTAGCTCTAGCAGCCATTATCAGAGCAGAGTTATTACACTTTACCTGAGTGGAGAGTGGCAAATATAGATTAATGTCTTGCCAAAGGATGTTGGTGCTTTGGCAGGGATTTGAACCCTGTACCTTGTGGTTGGCAGTCTGGAAAACTATCCGCTAGACAACAACAACAACAACAACACCTCTACACTGCTATTACTGTCTCTGAAGGCTAATTGTGAGGCTAGCATCCCATCATTTCAAAGCCTTTCAGTGTTTTCATCTTTCCTTGATAATCCTATAGTTTCGGTCTTGGGTTTCTGCAGTCCCGTCCCGTTCTTCCAGTATATCTGAAGAGTACTAGACAAAAGTTCTAAATGAATTCTGTCCAAACGCTACTCTACAATTCTGAAGTCCCATTTTACTCTCTATCATAATGTATTATTTGTTGACTCTTGATAATTGCCTGGTTTCCTTATAATGTTTTTTTTTGGAGACATGAATTTTGGTAATCTGACGTTTGTTCCAGTTACAATTCAACCAGGCTTTATTTCAACAACAAGAAAAGGGACAAGGTAGCAATTCTGTTTGAAGATAGGTTTAGGGTAAGGTAAAGTGTTTGATCTAGAATGAAAATGACAGAATTTCCTTTATGTAGGGAAATATAGTGTGGAGCTGTTTTTGCCAGAGCATGTATCCAACAATCTGTATCTCTTGTTATGTGTGGTTTAGATAAGAGGGAAAGGTGTTGACTACCCCCTCATCCTCAAGGACATCAACCTCTTGAAGTGGCTTGGAGCAAACGCCTTCAGGACAAGCCATTACCCATACTCTGAAGAGATCATGGATCTCTGTGACAGGCATGGCATCGTGGTGATCGACGAGTGCCCAGCCGTCGGGATGCGTTCGTAAGTTTCCAGTTCTATTAAAGGGATCATTTAACAATGTTAAATCTGAGATGCACGGCCCTACGTGTTATCAGTGTCTGTGATATGGTGTTTTAGTGAAGCCCTAAAAAAATTGTGCTTCAAAGTGATTAAGGAGTGCCTCAAAAAAGTAAAAACCTTTGAGTGACCGGTTTTACCATACCGGTACTCGTTTTCCCCAATAGACTATAGTGTTATGAAAACCGTTTGGCAAACGCAAAATGTGATTTCGATTTTCAATCATACATATCTTGATTATCAGACAGAAGATCGGCTTGGAAAAGTCATGGGGTTCCTAACTGACCTGAAGGTTTATAACTATCATGGCAGCATGAGCTAAATCAAGGATTTTTTTAAAGGATCTAAGACAAAGTTACCAGATCCCTTTAACCCATGGCCCCCAGGAAGCAGGCGGTCCCTGTACGAAGCCTATGGGAGTGAGAGGATTCATTTATCAATGGGTTGGTTAACCCATTTTCACACAGGACAGGACGAAAGTGACTCCTGTAGGAAGCCTTGTATGTCAATGAAAGAATTCAGTAGTCAACAGATTAAGTTAGGCCTTATTGAGTGTCTTTACAATTGATGATCTTTGAAGGTTTGCACGGTTGAACAGTTGAAATGCACTATAAAAGGAATGTTGGTTATGATTTATTAGAAGGAACCAGTTCATGAAAGAACTATGGTTTAACAAAATAAAGGAGTAATGAAAGTGAGAAAAGTAGGCAGTTCATATATTTTCATGGAGTGCAAAAAGATGAACCTTTGCACAGGAGAGGTCAGTGACCCCTATGACAATGAGAGTAGTCAGTGGTCAATGGTTGACTTTGTTTAACAATTACTGCTTTCATTCATTTAGTCTTAAGCTGTACATGAATTTGCCAACGTGCTTGCTCCATAGAAAAGTCAATTAAGAGTATTATAAACTCATGCGATATGAAACTCATGTGATAAAGTAGAGAGAAGACCCATTTAAAGCAAACAAAAGAAGTTAAATACCCCCCCCCCACCCCATACAAACAAATGTATGGGGAAGGGGCTATTTGGCTTATGTGAATAAAAAGCATTACTAATCCCAAACAGATGGATCAAGTGGGTGTTTCATTGTATCCATTGAAATTTAACTTTTGATTCACCTAGGTACCATGTTTAGAACATCCTGGAGTGGTAATCTTTTCATTATTTGGTTTATACCACATCAAACTCTCTTAAAAAATGTTTTAGAAGTCCCTAGCTGTGTATAATATACAATGAGTAGATTGCTTGCTCAAATGTTTGTTGTTATGCCTCCGTTATGAAGTAGCCGGAGGCATTATGTTTTCGGGTTGTCCGTCCGTCCGTACGTCCGTACGTCTGTACGTACGTACGTCCCGTTCTTGGGATCGCGTTATCTGAAGAACCGATTGATGGATTCCTGCCAACCTTTGGTCATGTATGTATCTTGCAGAGCCGATGAACTGAATAGATTTTGGGGTCACGAGGTCAAAGGTCAAAGGTCACAGGGCTCATTAGGTATGCAAAAACAACTCGTGATCGCGTTATCTGAAGAACCGATTGATGGATTCCTGCCAAACTTTGGTCATGTATGTATCTTGCAGAGCCAATGAACTGATTAGATTTTAGGGTCACGATGTTAAAGGTCAAAGGTCACAGGGCTCATTATGTATGCAAAAACAGCTCGTGATCGCGTTATCTCAAGAACCGATTGATGGATTGCTGCCAAACTTAGGTCGTGTATGTTACTTGCAGAGCCAATGAACTGATTAGATTTTGGGGTCACGAGGTCAAAGGTCAAAAGCCACAGCACACATTATGTATGCAAAAACAGCTTGTGATCGCGTTATCTCAAGAACCGATTGATGGATTCCCGCCAAACTTAGGTCATATATGTTACTAGCAGAGCCGATGAACTGATTAGATTTAGGGGTCATAAGGTCAAAGGTCATGGGCTCATTATGTATGCAAAAATCGCTTGTGAACGCATTCTCAGTAGAACTGACAGATGGATTACTATTTAACTCAGGACATCTTGCAGAGCCAATGAACTGAGTAGATTTTAGGGTCATGAGGTCAAAGATCAAAGGGTCATATATGTATATGAGAAATTGCTTGTAATCACGATATTCTGAGAACCTGTCAATGGATTACAATTGAACTTGAATTTGAAAAATTTCTTCTGTTTTGGTTTGTAAAATTGCTCTATGACGGAGGCATCATTTTCGACTGCGCGCAGTCGAATTCCATCTAGTTTAAATTCTGAATCAGATTTTGAGAATGTACACATCATTTTTTCGCTTGCCTTTTAATTTTGTACGACACATGATACATCAAGAACAACATGTATGAAGGGAATTTGGAACATGCATTGCTTGGTTGCATTCATTTGCATTTATCTTATTTATGTAAACTATTATTTCTCATTTTTCAGAGCCAATAATTTTGTAAATGCCACCCTGGTGCATCATCAGCAGGTCATGGCAGAGCTGGTGAGGAGAGATAAGAACCGCCCCTCGGTGGTCATGTGGTCAGTAGCCAACGAGCCAGCGTCCAGTCTGGCTGTAGCTGGACCTTACTTTGAGTAAGTCACCAAACCATTACTCCTACATATGCTGAGAGTTCTGTAACCTTTGAAGTACAAGAAATGCACTCTGATGATCCTTCTGTAAAATGGATTATAGAAGAGCAAAACAAATTCTTCATTGGCTTTCTTCAAAGGGTCTTACAACAAAGGGGGGTTCCTTATGATATGATGAATATACATTAGTAAAGGCATTAGTAAGAATTATCAACACTGGTTACATGAACTTTCTGATCGAACAGTCTAATACCTGGGCGAAAGCTGAGGTTGTTTCAAGATAAACTTGAGTTCTGGTAAAAAAAAGAAAATGAATTCTCACAGAATCTAACAAAACTTACACTGAATGTTCGAGATTACAAATAAATGTCATGTGCCAAACAATTTTGGAAGAAAATGTATACTGGCTGAGTAATGAGCATAGAAAGATAAGGAAATCTAGGTAGTACTAGCCCGACACCATTTGGGTTGTCCCATATACATCTTTCTGTGTACAGTGATTGTTACTTTACCAAGACTGGGCCGAATTTATGATAATTTTGATGACTCCAGAACTTTGCAGTACACACTAATACTTACATGCTATATGATCAACTTTTTCTGATCCATTCCACACTTTTTCTTTCACAATGAAATCGCATTACCAGAATTCACCTTTATCTTTAAACTCATACCTGCCAATCCTCTTGAATAATCTGATTTTCTGGATTTTTAGGACCTTAAAATTTGGAATATTCAGATTTGTATGCCTCCACTACAAAGTAGCCGGAGGCATTATGTTTTCGGGTTGTCCGTCCATCCGTCCGTCCGTCCGACCATACGTACGTACGTCCCGTTCTAGTGATCGCGTTATCTCAAGAACCCATTGATGGATTCCTGCCAAACTTAAGTCATGTATGTATCTTGCAGAGCCAATGAACTGATTTAATTTTGGGGTCGCGAGATTCAAGGTCAAAGGACACAGGACTCATTATGTATTCAAAAATAGCTTGTTATCGCGTTATCTCAAGAACCCATTGATGGATTCCCACCAAACCTGGGTCATGTATGAACCTTGCAAAGCCAATGAACTGATTTGATTTTGGGATTGCGAGATCCGAGGTCAAAGGTCACAGCACTCATTATGTATGCAGAAATAGCTCGTGATCGCGTTATCTCAAGAACCCATTAATGGATTCCTGCCAAACTTGGGTCATGTATGTATCTTGCAAAGCCAATGAACTGATTTGATTTTGGGGTCGCGAGATCCGAGGTCAAAGGTCACAGGACTCATTATGTATGCAAAAATAGCTCGCTTCTGTTTTGGTTTGTAAATTTGCTCCATGGCGGAGGCATCATTTTCGACTGCGCGCGGTCAAAGGTCCATCTAGTTTTGAATTCTGATTTTGTTTGTTTGTTTGTGTTTGTTCATTGTTGTTTTATTTTGTTGCTAAAGCCAAATTAAGCTTGTTTTATCATGTGCCGTGATTTGAGAGTTCACGTATTGCGTGCGTTGAATGGCTGCATGATCGAGCAGCGAATTGTATTCACTCTTTTGTACAGATTTACCGCGTTTTGCCAGTTACACTGCCGCTGCATGTGCAAAAGCCTGTTAAGGGTACAAATTTCTTATTTTCGAAGGCATAGATTCCTAATTCTTATTTTTAAATATCGGCAGGTATGTAAACTGTTTCAAAGGTACTGAGGGTGGATAATTGTACTAATACATAGTGATCCCTTTGTTTTTCTGTACATGGATTTACAGTGTACTTTAAAGGGAGAATTATGTAATACTTGATCAGTATTTGAAAATGATTTATGGAACCGTATTTCAAAATGCACTTCCATTAACCTTTAAGCAATCGTAGCAACATTAGACCTTGTTTCTCGAACCATAATCATGTCTATTTTTTATTTTGTTTTTTTGTTCACAGGAGTGTCATTTCATACACAAGAAAGTTGGATCCACATCGACCTGTCACATTTGTTGCAAATAGCCCCACACCAGAAAGCGATCGTGCAGTATGTCATATCATTTTTGATATAATAACCGGTGATGTAGTTTCCACCATTATTGTAGTTGAAGACTTACAACTAAAAAGAAATTTTGTCTTATTATTTTGCTCAACAGAGCATTTCCACCCTTGTAAAGTTAGTTTTAATTGTAGCAGATAAATGAGAGGAACAGGTCAGTGAAAGTTAGAGCAAATTCCTAGTAAAAATAAGAAACTTATGAATTTATCAAAATAGTGATCAATCAAACACAAATTGGCAACACTGTGACATATCTTGTGAGTTCCTCTCCAATTTGCTCTGTACCCAAAATTCCATAAACTTTCATTTTCTTTGTTATTGATAACAATATAGATTTTCTACACACAGGGGATGTATAGAAACATATGCAATGATTATATTTTGGGTGTATGTATGATTGAAAAATGTCTTTCTTCAGTTTTCAGTACAGAACATGTGATATCAGTGATACATTAAACTTTTCCATATTATTTCTTTATTTTGACTACAAATTATAAGAATCAGAAATTTTAGAAAAAATTGTATTTTTTGTCGTTACTCTGGGCATACAATGATTTGTCATACTTCAATTTAAAGCCTCACAGTCCTACTTGTAGCTACTTGCTCCCTCTATATAGAAAACTTCCCAAATTAGTGCCTGTTGGTCCCCATGATCCTCTTTTTTTATTACCGGTATGTTAGTTAAGAGCTGAGTTGATGAGATAGCCACCTGCCAGTGACCTGGTGGTCTAATCCCTTCTTGCGCAGTAGTATTGACAGTCTTTAATGCAAATATTTTTGTTTTCTTTGCATTGTCCCACTATTCTGCAGGCTAAGTTTGTTGATGTAGTGTGCCTGAATAGCTACATCTCCTGGTACCATCATCCAGGTCATCTTGAGCTTGTGACCCTTCAGGTCAACCACTTTCTGTCGAGCTGGCATGCCTACTACAACAAGCCAGTCATACAGACTGAATACGGGGCAGGGACCATTGCAGGCTTTCACATGGTAAATGTTAAATGATGAAAACATTATTTACAGAGCACATATCCATACATGCCAACTGTTCAGATTAAAGAGGAACATTCCTCTTTTTGGGAGAAGATAATTATCATTTTAATGCAGGTGTTCCTCTTCCTGTACAAATTTGTCTGTAGTATTGAATAGGAGAGTTAGGATTGTTCCTCTTTTTTTTTTAAATAGCATAATTTGTACAGATTTCTGATTTTCAAATGTTGGCATGTATGCATATCCTACTTCAGATATGCAGTAGGTGCCTACAAACTGATTCCAAATGCATGCTATAACAGAGAAAATAAGAAACCATTATTACTTCCAATGTTTTGTAATCCCGCAAAATTTAAGATGATTGAGATGATTTTTGTTTCAAATAAAAAGCTAAGATGCCCAAGTAATTTCAGTTTAGGTTTCCATACAGGCTTAATTAAAGGGATAAGTTAAACTTGAATAATGTCAATGCAGTGCACATGATAGGACAACATTAATTATGATAATTCTTATGAAATATTTGCTGTGGTAATAATTTCCTGCCATTTATTCAAATGCTCTTCTTTTATTCCTGTTCATATGTAGTGCTCCCACCTTTCTTCCATTTATTCTCTCTCTTCTCTGTCTGTCTTTCTTTCTGTCTGTCTCTTTCTCTCTCTCTCTCTCTCTCTCTCTCTTGTCTCTCTCTTTCTCTCTCACTCTCTCTCTCTCTCTCTTTCTTCCCTCTTGCTTCCCCTCTCTCTCTCTCCCTCTCGCTTCGTCTCTCTCTCTCTCTCTCTCTCTCTCTCTCTCTCTCTCTCTCTCTCTCCCTTTTGTATTTCTTTCTCTTATCCCTCTCAACAGAATATACGCCTCGGGCGTGTTAGACTGTTCCCAAGGTACCTTGTGTGGGTAATTCTGACTATAAATGCCCTCACTACTGCGTATTATTTGTATACTGGGTCATACGCCGTAGATAAATGAAGAGAATTATGACAGTCTAATCAAATCCTACTTTCATCATCGTTACAGTCGCCAGCGGTCATGTTCACGGAGGAGTATCAGGTTGAAATGATGGGAAACTATCACACATCCTTCGACAAGCTACGGCAGGACTTCCTCGTTGGGGAACTGGTGTGGAACTTTGCAGACTTCAATACAAAGCAAGGTAAAAATGTGCTTTGATATCTTGTTTTTGTTATTCTGAAACCACTTAAAAATTGTATAATATCATGATTTAAATATTTAAAAAATTGTAGTTAATTGCACGTTGTTAATAACCTTCTGTCTTTAAAAAGACAATATGTTTTAGGCATTTGTGTGTTAAGGTATATCATGAGTTTGGGTAATGGACCTGCACTGTGAGAGAAATTTGTATGAAATTATTCTCGGCTAATGTTCGTATTACAATCAGAAAGGTTGAGCTTTGCAGTGATAACCAACCATATTAAAGTTTCACTGCAAGTTTTCCAGAAAAGACTTGAAAAAATCTGTCCACAAACAATTAAATGAATCATAGTTCGTTAACTGTATAGATACTAATACTGACGGTATTCGTCTTCCATTTTAGTGTATTAAAAATCTGCCATTTTTATCTTTTAGGCACGACGAGAGTTGTTGGAAATAAGAAGGGGGTTTTCACACGCCAGCGCCAACCCAAAATGGAAGCCCATGTATTAAAGGAGAGATACCTAGAGCTCATCAAGACATTGGGATGCTAAGTTAATGTAACAAGCCTGTAATGAAATGTAAGTTATATGAAGAAATACCCCCCCCCTTTTTTTTCCCCCTTATTTTGTCCTACAATTTTGAAACAATGGGGGGGGGGGGGGCTGGAGGTGGCAAAACATTAGGGTAGAAATCATCCAAACCATCGCGGAGAGGCGTAGTACTAAAACTTTCAACTCTCCTCTTGCCGTTACCTCGAGAAAACGAACGATGATGGAAAAAAGAAGCAGAAAATTAAAGATAAGAGGAAGGAGGAAGAAGAAAAGAAAAGAGGAAGGAGGAAGAGGAGAGACAGAAAGAGAGAGAGAGAGAAGAAATTTAAGCGAGAAAAGAAAAGGATAAAAGAAGAGCTGGAGAGGAAGAGGAAGGAGAAAGATGAAAAGGAAGAAGGAAAGAAAGAAGAAGAAAAGATGGAAGAAGGAAAGATGGAAGAAGAAGATGGCGAGAAAGAGAGTTCATCTGTAGCAGAAATTGACGTCCACCCGGATAAAGACTTGGTAGCAGACAAAGAAGAATTAGAAGATGAGGAAGGAAAGAAAACCAGACCGGTCCCTCCTCAGAAGTTGGTAGTTAAAGTGATAGAATAGACTACAAACTTCATAAACACCTTTTTTTTTAAAGTTACATTTCTGTAGACGGAACACTTTTCTTTTCTTTTTTATTGGGTTAGGAACAGCCAATTATGATGAGTTACATATTATTTCTAATCTGAGAATCTTCTCTGTTAAAATCAGACCTGGGCTCGTTGCGTAAAACTTACCATTGATGGTAACTTTGCCATCAATGGCAACTACCAATGGAGCTCAATGGAACTCAATGGAACTCAATGGAGCTATCGACTATTAAAAATTCTCTCCAATTTGAATCTGCAATTATAAGCAAGAATTTGAGAAATAGAAATTAAACCATCATGATCCAGAGGGATTTTCACCACACTACCCTCTGCCAAATACATGTCCCAGTGATACAAGATCAATTATATAGTGAAAATCACTGCATTTCGATATATGCTGTACATATATATTACAATCTTAGTTTCTATATTCAACTTATATAAACATTTGATATAGAACAACAATGATCATGTCAAAATGCATGTTTATATGCATATTATTTTGTTTAAATCTATTCCTCGACATTCTCCGGCAGTTTCTCTGGATAGGAGGTCTCTACCATCCTCTTCTTCAGACGACGTCTTTCTTCTGCCACTCCCAAACAGGCGAGATGCATGGGCTCTGACAGAACTACATAAAGCCCTAACCGCTGCCACCACTTCCAACTTATACTCCTCCCATGCATCCCCCTTTTGCCACTCCGCACCCAGACACCCAGGATATGTAAAGCTATGGTCACAAATCAGAGCAGCGACCGACCGATCAGTAGCCTGCTCGGTCGCTGCTGGAATTAGGCATCGCCCAGCGATTAGGTCGGTGCCCGGGCGGCGACTGCCCAGGCACCGGGCGTATTTTGGGCGGCGAGTGAAAAGTGAGCAGGCGCCGCCCAAATTTTAACTCCGCGCTAAAACTTCAGCGGCGACCGGGCGATGCCCTAAAAACGAGCGGTGCCTGGGCGGCCGCCGCCGGGCAGAATTGGTTCAAAACTCGCCGCTCGGCCGCCGAGCAGGCAACTTTTGGCTAATGTGACCATAGCATTAAGTTCACACATCATTTATTGTTTTTCGAAAACTAAAGGCATATTATGGAAATACACTATTTAAGATCGAAATAAAGGTGGGAATTGTATTCACGTTGCATTATAATTTTACCTGAAATCTTTTAAAAGCTAGCAGAAGGAGGACATCTGACATAATACATGTACCAGTATGTAGTTTATGTCACAAAGTCTCGTTTGTGGACGTTCTTCTGCAATCCAACTGCCTTGTAAGTTGTAGGGGGGCTTTGCAATGAAGAATTTCACCAATGTTTGGAATGTTAATCAATCACATATTTATCTAAATTACACACCTGGATGTTTTTAAGGACTGCAGTTTTTTTTGGCAGACTCCAGGAAACACCACAAGATCGGTTCCATAATTTTGTTGAATCTTTTCAATCTTGGCTTTAACTCAGAGTTTGCTGTGGCTGCTATATATAGCTTCTCTGTAGGCAGCACAGTTGTCCTCTACTGCAAAGCCACATTCCTTTACTTTCATTTTTTTGCACACTCCTCACCTGTTGAACACCATCAATGTTCTTCATTTTATATTCAAGGCATTCATCACAATTGTACATAATTTCTGTGCAATTTTTCGCACCTTTTGACTATGCTGAATGCTTTTCTATGCAAGTTTAGTTTTGATGGGTTTTTTCTCTTTCTTTTTTTATCTGACTTTAAATTTTATCGCCACTCATTTCATCCCTATTTTCACGAAGTGACGGTAGTGAGGAAAATCGTCACTCAAATTCAAGGCAATTTTCCTCATTACCGTCACTTCGTGAAAATAGGGACGATTTACATTCCAAGTTTTTCATATTTTATATATATATATATATATATATATATATATATACTTTATACATAAACTGCAATTATGCACTTGTACGTACTGTTTTTTTTATATTCGGATGAGTAGAATAAAAGGGTGTTGAATATTGAATTTTTTACTTATGAAAGACCACAAGACATGTCACGACTGGTCTTCAAATATATATTCAATTATAATACAAATTTTGAAAATTCTTCAGTTTTTTTGTTGTCATTAAGCAATATAGAATATTGTGATAAATTAATTCTAAATCTGAAATGTCGACTAGTCTGCTCACAACTCATCATGTATACCTATCCAGGCTGCAATTTCAGTTGTCAAATTTGCAATGCATGTATCTCTTAACAGAAGACAGTACTAATGTTTAAAACTTGTGTTTTGTATACTAGTTCAATACCAGCATTGAACCTTTAAACAAAAACTTAGGATTATTTGTCCCCTGTATAATCACAATTAATACATTTAGGCTGCAATTTCATTTTTTTTTCTTTCTTTTCTTTTCTTGCCTTTTCCTTTTCATTATTTAACATTTCTGCCATGGATAAATTTTGAGTACCATTTCTTTTTATTGATCATATGTTTAAGTCTTGTACAAAAGTATAATTTTTGTATTTGTCATCTGTTATAAAATTATAAAGGAATGCCAGTTTCATGCTTATTACCACGCATACTTGTGTACATTCTATGTTTATAATATTCTGGTTAACTTTCCTTTGTCAAAATTGATTATTCACTGACCTTTTCAGCCTGTTCTGATGGTCAGTTTTTATACAGCAATTGAATATTTTGTTAATGATTTTAATTACTGTGACTTAGTTCTTTATTATATGTATTATACTCAGTCATTTTTTTTCAACATTGGACATGTAGAATTGTTGTTCTTTCTACCTTTGGTTATAATCTTGTATACTACTGCAAAAAAACATTAAATTAAAGATCTAGTTTTTCATTGAGAGTACTTTCTTATCTTTAGTTTCATTAAACTGATATAGTATTTTAGTGAGCAAGCTTCGGAAAGAGAGACAGAGAGTGTGTGTGGAAGGGGAATAGAGATGAGGGGAAAGGGAAAAGAGAAGGGAGGTGTTTTGGGTAGAGAGAAAAAAGAGTGTGACAGAGAGAGAAGGATGGTAGAGATAGTGGAGAGAGAGAGAGAGGGGGGGGGGGGAGAGAAAGAGTGTGTGGAAGGGAGAGAGATGAGGGAAAAGACGAGAGGTTTCGGGGGAGAGAGAAAGAAAGAGTGTAACAGAGAAAGAGCCCTGAGAGAAAGATGATAGAAATAGTGGAGAGGGGGGAGGGGGTAGAGTGAGTGTGTGGAAGGGAGTGAGATGAAAGAAAAAAAGAGAAGAGAGGTGTTTGGGGAGAGAGGAAGAAAGAGTGTGACAGAGAGAGAAGGATGGTAGAGATAGTGGAGAGAGAGAGGGGGGTAGAGTGAGTGTCTGGAAGGAAGAGAGAGATGAAAGGGAAAAGAGAAGAGAGGTGTTTGGGGGGAGAGAGAGAGAAAGAGTGTGACAGAGAGAGAGAAGGATGGTAGAGATAGTGGAGAGAGAGAGAGAGAGAGAGAGAGTGGAAGGGAGAGAGAAGAAGGACAAGAGAAGAGAGAGCGTGTGGAAGGGAGAGAGAGAAGAAGGAAAAGAGAAGAGAGGTTTTGGGGGAGAGAGAAAGGAAGCGTGTGACAGAGAAAGAGTCCAGAGAGAAGGATGATAGAGATAGTTGATAGAGAGAGAGAGAGAGAGAGAGTGTGTGTGTGGAAGGAAGAGAGATGAAGGGAAAGAGAAGAGAGGTGTTTGGGGAGAGAGAAAAGAGTCGAGAGAGAAGGATGATAGCGATAGTGGAGAGAGAGTGAGATGAAAGAGGTATGGGGATAGAAAAGGAACGAGAGAGAAATAGAAGGAATAGACTTTGGGTGAAGGCAGAAAATTACTGATCCATGAAGGACAAGGATAAGAAAATATTGATGTTTGGACCTGATATAAATACACGAAAATACTCATTTTGAGAAATGGTTGTGTGACTATGATGTAATGGAACACTTTTCCATCTGTTTATTCGTTAGAATAGCAAATTTGTTAATTGTCTCCTACACATCGATTCATTTTTTCCAGCTGTACACAGAATATGAATAGGATATTTGGCATTGTCCATAAATGTGCCCAGCTCAGTTCAAAATTGGGAAAATTTCATATTTGTTTCTTTGTTCCGTTCACAGTTATAGATTTCAGAATTATCTTACCCAGAACTTATCTTACATCACAGTGACAGGAAAAAAGTCACGTGTATGATCTCCTTGTTTATATAATAAAATTTCACTAATTATCAGTTTAATCACTGATTCTGCTTTGATCCAATAAAACTATACATAATAGACAGAATAATTATAAACAAAATGTTCTGAGAATATCAAGGTTTATCAATAAAAAATAAAAAGGCACAGCTCAAAGCCTATTCATTTTGAATTTACAAATAAAAACACAGCATACAAAATACAGGCAAATATTAGAATATAATTTGGTAAATACAAAGTTAAGACATTCAGTAAAGAAATTGATATATAAGAAGTAAAAAGAAGAAGAAGAAGAGAAAAATAAATGAAAACAAGAATGGAGGAAAGAATGAAGGAAACATGGTTGACAGTAAAATAAGAGTTTACAATTAATATGTGTATAAGACCAGTTTTGGTATACAAGTAAAAAGACTGTAAAGAAAACCGCTTCTGACCAGTGTAACAGATTTAGATTTTAAAAAATTGATGAATTAAATAGGCTTGTCAATAAATCTTTAAAATAATTTCTATTTAAAATGTATATACAGATCGGCTGCTGCATTTATGCTATATAATTACAGGTGCTATACATTACATTTCATTGAACAAATATTATATCTTGGGTATTTAGATTGATATGCTATTGAAAAACTTGGTTGATTGTAAGACAGGTTCGGTATCAAAAGGGTTAAACTTAAGAATCAGATATTCTTTCGCAATTTCAAACATGGTTGACAGTAAAATAAGAGTTTACAATTGATATGTGGATAAGACCAGTTTTGGTATGCAAGTAAAAAGACTGTAAAGAGAACCGCTTCTGACCAGTGTAACAGATTAAGATTTTAAAAAATTGATGAATTAAATAGGCTTGTCAATAAATCTTTAAAATAATTTCTATTTAAAATGTATATACAGATCGGCTGCTGCATTTATGCTATATAATTACAGGTGCTATACATTACATTTCATTGAACAAATATTATATCTTGGGTATTTAGATTGATATGCTATTGAAAAACTTGGTTGATTGTAAGACAGGTTCGGTATCAAAAGGGTTAAACTTAAGAATCAGATATTCTTTCGCAATTTTCAGATTATTACAAAAAGTGTATCTGTGCAGATATTAGGTCCACTTTTCGAGATCAGGCTTGCATTGATACATCAGAGCAAACTGTAGATGGCGCTATACCGCGACGACATTAACCTGGTCGACTCACCGCCTGAAGGTTTGCAAAAATGACAGCCTTTACAAATAGATATTCTATGAGTGGTTTACAAGTGCATGTCGGTGATCAATAGGTATCGATTGACGACTTTTGCTGTACTATTCTGAATCTTCTTCCTATTCTTCTTCTTCTTCCCCCTTTCTTGTTTCTTTTCCTTCTCAATCTTCATCCTTTTCTTCTTCTTTTTATTCTTCTTTTTATTCTTCTTTTTCTTCTTCTTCTTTTTATTCTTTTTCTTAATCTTCTTCTTCTTCTTTTTCTTCTTCTCCATAATCATCTTATTATTTTTTCTTCTTTAATTATTCTCCTTTTTCCAAAATAAAACTTGAAACAAAATAAAGGAGGGCGGAAAAGAAAGGAGGGAAAAGAAAGAAGGGAAAGATGGGGGAAGAAAAATAGGCAGACAAAAAGGGGAAGAGAGAAGAAACAAACACTATTAT